CGCTGAAAAGAGCAAAAAGAAAGCTGGGCACTGTGCTGCAGCAAGGGGCTCAGCTCATATGAAAGTCCAGAAGGAGGCACTGAATGAATCAGCAATGCAAGAAATAAAAGCAACCCTACATCAAATGCAGCAACCTGCTGTGAAGACTTGCTTTCTTGTTGCCCAATGACAATCTGTGAAAGGCATGCCGTACGCTGAGAACTGGATAGTCAAGTGCATTTTGATGCGAATGCCCAGCCCAAGATTTTATGAGCACCATGCAAGGAAGAGATATTTGTTTTGCCGGGGCAAACTTGCTAGCAAAATTACCAGCAGCGGTTTAAAGGCAGTTTTAGACTTAATCCAAATATATTGTCTGCCTTGAAAGAGAAAACCAAGGAGATATACATATATATTGTAAGAATTCATTGGACTTCATCTTCCTCATCTGTCAATAACCACCATCAGTCTCCGTTTCGTTTTTCTTCATCATCGGCGCCATCTTGCTGTTGCTTGAATAATGCGTCAGCTGACCGTGGTATTTCAATATATATATATATATATATATATTCATTCTTTCAGCTGCCACAGGGGCTTTCTCATTGACCAGCTCCGGGCAAAATATCTGTTTGCGATTGATATTTATTGTATCTATATAACCATATAATCAGACTACCTTGGTGCATGGAGTATACCCTTAGCATGATGCTGCATCATACTGCATCATACTGAGTGTGATATGCCGCTAATAAAATAAAATATCACAACTAAGCGGTCGCAATGTCAGTTAACTATATTAAGGTCGACTAAAATCATTGGTTTAAAAACAACACAATACGGCTGATACAAAAAAAAATGCAAGCGCTGTTGTTCAGTTCCATGTGGTCCGGTTTTTAATGCAGTAATATGTACCAAGTGGCAGCCAGCTGCGATGACACCCTTAATCGAGAAAATTTGACTTTGAACGTTCTCGTGTAGCTGCGAAAAAAGTGGTGTTTTATTGTTCGCAATCGAAATGGGCGTGAACCAATCTTAAGACATGGTTTCTCGTCGCATCTAATATGTCAGACTTAGCTTATTATTTACAAATGGCTGTTCGGATAAGCCGTAGTACATTCTTGTATTGGCCTCTGTCATTATAAGCATGGAATCACGATAACAAGCAGACGACATTAGCAGTAATGGAAGTGACATTTTGCTTTTTGGAGCAAATTTTTGAGTCGAAAAAATGGTGCTTCGGAGCAGCCTGAAGTGTCTTCGGAGCAGAAGAAAATGCTATAGCTTAAGGTTGCTATTGGTGTTTTCGAAGCAGCAGATGCATGTTCCTAACTTTTCTTGAAGTTTAAAAGACCACTTAAGCATGTAATAAATATTTATATTTATTATTAAACACACCGTACACTAGTGTGCGGCTATTTATAAAGTTTTAAAAGTTTATAAACTTTTTAAAAGTCTTTTTATTACCTGCATTAAATGCCCCTCAGCTGTGTGAGCTGTGGCAATAAAAAAAAGGTGAAAAAAGAAGAAGCTGAATAGAACAATGCAATTGCTCAAGCTCTGACCCCATGCTCCTTTTTTTTCAATTTTATTTGAAAGCGTGACTTATTTTTGATATAAATAAAAATACAACCCAGATTAAAAATACAAATTGGACACCACGGCCTGATATGTGTCCCCGCTTGAGATTTTTCTGGATTTATGCCACTGAGTAGCATACTAAGACGATTGTGTTTACAGCTTGCTTTTGGTTTCGCTTAGGCTCACGGGATGGTCCCATGGTTCAACTTCATTCTTTTTAGTTTTTCAACATCCTTTCGGAGTCTGCCTACATTCGTCTAGTCAAATAGCAATGAGGAAGACTGGATTTGCAGCAAAGTGCTGTGTTGCGCTGCTCATAGTGCAGGAGCCACCGACATGCGGTGAACCTTAGTAGAGTAACTCGATGCCCCGCGGCATCGAGGCACCCTAGACCTTAGTGTGTGGCAGCACCACCATGCTGTGACAGTGGGAAGGCATTAGCGCGGCGGCCACGGGAGAGCGCGCACTCAGCACCCTAGCCAGTATATTCTAGGCACTAGTCGCAGCCACAAAGTTTCCTAAATATACCCTAGAGGGAACTCTGGTGCTAGTGCCTATAGGAGCTGCAACGCACGGCTGCTTCAGCGAGCATGGGAATTATGGGTAGCACACGGATTTGCCTAGCATTCGTACTTTACGTTCCTTATGGCTTCGCGTGGCTTGGAAGCTGCTTTGTCACAAAACAACAATCGGCAAATGTTCACCAGTTACGCTCCATCACCTTGATCTTTTAGGTTTACCATTTAAAAAATGTGTCACGAAGTTCAGAAGGGTTAGTTCTTTTCTTTGAAACAAAACCTAAACTAGCAATAAACGAAGCTGCAAGTGCAATTCACCACCCCCAAGTTCCAAGACTAGGCGAATTCGTGTACTACCTATCATTCCAATGGTCGCTGAATGATCGCAGAACCACAGTCCCCTCTAGTTAATTTTAGGAAACTATGGTCGCAGCTTCCGATCTCAATTTATATTTTGTGTGTGTGTATGTTAGTAGTGCAAGTGTCAAACGTGTGGCGATCATCGTATACGTGCTCACGCCAGGGGAAGTAGGCAGAAATTTTTTAGAGGGGGGGGCACTTCCCTAAATAAGTAGGGGAACCCTTAAGCTTCGCCTTTAAGAGTTGAACGCGATAGCGAAATCCAGACCCTAGTGCACCCTTCACCCACCAAGTGCATACCTATTAATATGTTTTGTTAAACACACAAACGTGCGCAAGTGCGACGTATCTATAGTAATGCAGTGACTGTGCACTGTGGCCATTTCCCTCTGCTAGAACGATTCCTCTGCTGTAGTCTAGACACATTTTTCACCATGTCTCACAGATAGCACACAGACACACACACACACACGTGCGAATTGTACATACAGGTATTTTATCTAAAGCAAGAGTCGCATGGCCTCCAAGATACAAGCCACGCGCTCGCCATCTCGTAAGCCATAGTCTGAAAATGCCTCACAGATGGCAACACATTATCTAGCGTTTGCTGTTTGCTTGATCAACGCCTCTGGAAATGCGTGATATAGACAAATTCCACCGGACTTGCGAAAATTCCACGAAAATGTGGTGGCGCTGTCTTGGTAGGCAAAACACGCTCTGCCTACCCCAGTTCCTGCTGGGTTTTCAATGGTGCATGCGGTGTTCTCAGTCGAGCAACGAGAAAAAAAAAACGGTATGCCGACGAACTGCTTCACGGTTGGATGTGAGTCGCGCCTCACAACTTAGTTTTGTTTGTTGGCGCACATCGCAGCCCTCAGCGCTTATGGCTTTCACAACGCTTATGGCGTCTCACAACGTCGTTTTGCTGGCACGCATCGCAGCCCGCAGCGCTTATGGCAGAAGTTACGTGCGGACATCACTATAACTTTAGCCATAATGTCGAAACTGGCCTACCTGTATTTACAAACATGGAATGGGTCTATATTTTCCGCTAGATAGACATAGTTGTCTATTTTTAGAGCTGTTTGAAAGTTCTACGTGTTTTTAGCGGTGGCGACTGCGCTATCCCGGCCTTTTTCGACGTAGTTTGATGGTTTCCTAACGGCGCCTACAAATCACCGAATGGGCTCGTTTTTCGTCGTGACACCGGTCGAACAAAATGCATCAAAGAGACTCCTTCCACTACATGGCATTTCTGCAGTTTTTTTTTTCCGAAGCAGCTGCAAGTAACATGGTGGCTTCGTGGTAGGAAACCTGCTTGCCGCGCGAACGGCTTGGGTTCGATCCTCAATGGTACTGAAATATTTATTCTTTATTTTATTTGCTTCTTTCTCGACTTTTCGCTCACGGACGATTTTGCACTCGCAACTGACGGAGCCGATGGCGGAATTTCTGCGACGCAAGCTCTTTAATGCCATAGCGTTAAAATGGTCACTGTTAGCTCTGTATGCCACAGTAAAAAAAATGTTGGGGGAGGGGTGGGGGCATGGGCCTGTGTGCCACCCCCCTGGCCATGCCACTGGTTCTGAACGAGCAGCCACCACAACCACGTAATACACAACTGACGCCTGGGTAAGCCACGTAGGCCTAGCTTGTGAAATGCAGGGGCCAATGCAGACACACAAAAGCTGAGTGCAGTCGGTTCTCGCCAAGCCTCATAATGCTGTAGAAGCAATGCCGACAATGTGCTCTAAGGTGCGCCACGTGGAGTTACCCTGAGGCAACAGCAACCCGGCAATGCCCCCAACCAAGATAGGTGGATCTTATAAGTCATCTTTTTTCTGCGAAAGTCATAAAAAGTTAAAAGTGCATCTTATACACCAGAAAATACAGTACTCTTTGCAGCAACCACTATAACTGCCACTCCCTTACTTTCTCTTTATGCACAATGCTGAGATCAGCAGTGACGAGTGTGGAGGCGGGGCGGTAGAGGTGATTCCCACCCCACCAAAGCCTGTGTCATCCCCTCCCCCCTCCTGTTTTTCCAGCGCTCTCGTCGTTCACCTCCTATCACCAACTAGAACAATTGAGTGGGATCACCGTGAGCACACAACAACAGTATTTATACTATGGTAGGGTTTTCAAGCTAACTAAAAACATTCTCAAAAGTCAGGACCCTTTCCCCTCCAGTGTTACTTCAAGCTACCCCCCCCCTAAAGTGAGTCTCTTGGTCCGCTCCTGCAGATGAGCTACTTATGCTTGATTGATTAATATGTGGGATTTAACGTCCCAAAACCACCATATGATTATGAGAGACGCTGTAGTGGAGGGCTCCGGAAATTTCGACCACCTGGGGTTCTTTAGCGTGCACCCAAATCTAAGCACACAGGCCTACAACATTTCCGCCTCCATCGGAAATGCAGCCGCCGCAGCCGGGATTTGATCCCGCGACCTGCGGGTCAGCAGCCGAGTACCTTAGCCACTAGACCACCACGGCGGGGCACTTATGCTTGCAATGGCTCCCTAAGAAGCACAAGGATGCAAATTAGACAAGACAGCAAGGTGTTGGTTTAACAAGACTTTTTATATTTATGTGTGTGTGTATATATATATATATATGCATGTAGATTGGTCTAGACCCTGAAGAGAAATACAAGGACATCACACACCAGACAAACCAAACAATGTGCAAGGGGGAGAACAACTTAAAACGCTGACGACACACAATCTTTTCACCGACTTGCTTTGCAGTTACGAGAAACAATAAATAGGCTCAGTTCGTTGAATGGTGGGAAGCACAACAGTTGCGGAACATGATGTCCAGATCGAGAGTCAAAGAAAGCGGCATGCTGGGGCTTCACTAGGAGCTTGCATGGAAGCCTTGCAAAGGTCATGTCTTCAGCTTCTGTACATTATCTGCAACAGATAAAAACAGAGAATTTCTCTCTGAGAAAAGATGCAAAGAACACTTGTTTTGCATTAAAAGGAAAGTTTTGAAATTGACAAAAAACTGAACATGAAAAAAGTCACACTTAAGGATTGCAAAAATGCTGCAACTTTCAAATATACCTACAGCTGGACACATACCAGCTCAGTGCATAGTGAAAGAACAGTGCTTCGCGCAGTGACACGAGCAAACATTTTCGTTTTCTTTTCCTTTCCTCTGTTCTTTGACTTATCAACCCTTCAATAGGTGGCGCCACCGTTCGAGTGGGGCCACGTAAACGCTAACCCACTAAACTACATGACACTGTCCGCAACGAACATTTGCTGCATGATAACGTCATTCCCTTAACATCGCTATCATGCTAACAGTAAACTATAGCTGTCTAATATATAAGCATTCCGCATGATCGCACTGTCTTCGCAGCTCTTTTGGAAGAAACTTATGTTACCATGCCCTTTCGCAGCAAAAATGCAGTTCTGATGCTTCTGTGAAGCAATGTGCACCTTTATTTCGGTTGTGCCGTCATGTAAAACATTTGCATTACAGGCGCACATGGCACAGAATCCGTACTTGTCACCTTTCCGTGAAGTCACAAAGCATGTAAACTCCGCTGTGTACGGGTCCAGAAACACTGGCAACGACTTTCTTTTGACACTACCATCGGCCTTCCGAACGAGCAGCCACCACAACCACGTAATACACAACTGACGCCTGGGTAAGCGACGTAGGCCTAGCTTGTGAAATGCAGGGGCCAATGCAGACACACAAAAGCTGAGTGCAGTCGGCCAAAACTATAGCTATTATGCGCAGCGGCCACTTTTTTGTCTGTCAGCAACATGTTATGGAACGAAGTTACAAAATTGACATGTGTTTATCGGGCATACACTTCTCCTTAATTCAACTGAAACTAAGATACACAGAAAAAACTGCCACTCATGCACAATAGCTAAATATTTGGCCGACGGTACCTATTCCCTTCGGTAAGATGGCGTGCGTGTCTCAGTTTTCGACGAGATGTGCAGTACTACATAGTGCTTAGAATATACTTAGCTGTACTCTACAGTATGGTTACAAATTACAATGAACCAGGGAAGTGTAGCGCAGAGTGCTCTTCCACAGCACCACAGCTGTCGCAGGTGGTAAGGCTGACGTACACACACAAGCTATGGCAGCCACTTTTCGGGAGATTGGAGATAGCATTCGTACAATCGGGAAATTAGGCCGAAATTCGGAAGACTCCAGGATAATTCGGGAGAGTTGGCGGATATGCATAACTATTCGCCATGAGATGGGTTTGTGCCCCTGCAAAGCACTCAGTGGAAAGGCCATTAAGCGAAGCTCCGAAGGTGCCACACTCGAGTGCATTCGAAGTTTGTAGTTCACTAACTTAACGCATTAACACGACCAGTGAGATGAAGAAAATATGCCAGCTATTGAATTTGGAAATGAATACGACTGTGCCTGGCTTCTGACATACACGCATGCCACAAGTTGTCCAAATATCTGCTAGAAAGGGTGACTTTAGCTCGCTTTATTGAAGTCTCAACGTATATTCTGGTAGACAGGTAGATAGACTGTGCAAGACACCTTGTCCTCAATTTACCGTATTTGGTGTATATGCTTCAGCTCTCTGGCGTCGAGGTAGTGTACTGAAAGTGACATATCATGCATCACTCTCCTTCGCACAAACACGGCGACTGCAAAAGTAGCCCAGGACTGAAATCTTGCAAACTGAACAAACTTCAGAGCTAGTACTTCCTAAATCACTGTACTACCTTCTGGTTACAATTGGTGCTGCCAGTAACCTAGACTAGAGGAACTGAGCTACAACAGGCTGCTTGCTGAGAAACAGTGCTATTCTAATAAGGGTGCCATGGAATATACCCTGAGCTCAGCTGATGACTTTCAATGCTTTTCTCGCACACTAAGACAAGATTCCTTTTGACTGCCTGCAGCCCACAAACTTCTGTCCCAAAGTGCACCAAATTTTGATCCATAAAGAAGGCATGCAACGGCTCACCAGGATAGAACCACTGCCGACTCGGGAGGTGAGGAAGATGTGGAGGATGTGCGGGCCCTCTTGCGCCGCTCGGGGTCTGACTCGTAGCCTGGCTGCGGGTCAGGTTGGGCATCTTTTAGTTCAGCGTAGTGCTCGGGCAAAAACTGCTGGACCAGGGCATCAAAGTCCCGCTCCAGGGTTCGTGCCTGTTGACACACCTGAGACTCTTTCTGCGAGAAGAGAGAGGCGAACGCTCGTGAGCATTCATGGACATCTGAGAACAAGTACAGCGAGCAAACAAAGGAGCAGGTGCTTCCAAACGCCAGGAATCCAAATATTGCAAGCAATACGCAAAGACTGTGTAACACAGAGAGACCACTACAAGGCGCAATTGTAGTGGTCTCCTTCTGCCAAATGTTCCTTGCCGCTTACTTGCAGTCTCGAACAGGGCCGAATTTTTCCCTATTGGCGCACGTGTTGCAGCACCCTCTGTAATGTATTTTTTGCACTTGGCTTGAAGAGTGTCACACAGACGGAGGCAGAATTTATGATCTTTTCAACTTAAATAGATGACAAACTGAAATTTTTGCCATGTCTGACACTATTTACATAACTTTAGCATGTGCAGAATTTTTTACATCCCCTTTAATATGATCACTGCTTGCATCTTACCCATTTTCCTATTCATTTCTAATATTTAAAGGGTTTTATGCAACACCTTTCCAAGTAACAATAACATGGATTCATTAAGAGAGTTTGTTGCCTCCAGAGTCCACTGCCACAAAAAAAATTTTATAATCTGTCAGGTACGAGCTAAGTTAGAGATTTTTCCCATACTGCAATGGGCCTTTTCCGGGTAGGTAGTCTGCACACACACGCCGGCCTCGAGGAAGCATGCATTATAATTTTTGGTGGCCAAAACGCGATGACAGGTGCTGATCAAGTGACAATCGCTGTCAAAAACATCCTAATGTTTCCACAAAAAGGGGCGGGAATGCAGGCATCTATTTGCCTACTAAGCATGGGGCGGACAATTTCGAAGTCCTGGGGCCACCAGTTTTGATTTTGGCGATCTCCACCTAAGGTGCTGTTTGAACTAGGAAAAGGCCCATTGCTTTCTTTCTTGTCTCATCCCTATGAATGTGCTGGAAGCTAAGCATGTAGGAATGGCATGTGGGAAAGAAGCAATGTCACATGCCCTTTGAGCACTTTTCCTTTATTCCACCCTTTGAACGTGTGGCTTACTTTCAATGCGACTACAAGTGCGCGCGTGGGAGCACATGGCCGCCTCTCACAGCACCCACATCAACTATGTAGCCGTGATGCTCGTATCAGTCAATGGCTGTGAATTCGAATGTATAGGACGGTCGTTAAACTTCGAAAACTGGTTGTAAGTTCCGGGCCACGTGCTGCAATGCTATGTTTGGATCGTGTGTTCACAGGAGCTTGGACTACTGCAGCGTTTTCTGACCACGCTTAAACTACATTAAAGGGCCCTTAATGTATATGCCTCATATGCGTGAGTGTGTGTGTACGTGAGCACGCACGTGTGCGTAATCAGGGCTAATTGCGAAAAAGCTGATCTACTTTTGTCGGCACTTGTGAGCCTGGACAATCTTAAAATTGTCCTTTGAGGAATAGATCTGGAAATCGATAAAAGCTTAAGAGGTGATACAGAGTTGCGTTACAAGGAGCCATACATAACTGACATTCTTTGCCCTCACCCCATTTTCTGATATAGTCCTTTACCTATCAATCAATAATATACATACACTGTGTACCAATTCTGGCAAAATGATACTTAAAGGTAAGTGTTGATGAACTGGTGAAAAGACTATCACAACATTTCATCACAGTCTTCTATTTCGTAGTACACACCGCTTACACTGCTCACGCAGTTTCTGTCACGTGCAAGAGCTAGATAAGCACGAATTAAACAATCTACACTTATTTGCTTGAAAGCGCGAGAACCAAGTAAAGCAATTGAAAACAAATTAAGTGTGATAGCAATGGACATTACTAGAGAGCAACCTCCAAAGTTTTGAGCTATATTGCTCCAACAAGTAATTGCGTCTTATTGGAAACTTCAGTAAAACTCACGCCTATGAACTTTCAAGGCCTTTTCAATAAAACACTTGGCTTTTTTAATATCGCTGAAACCAAAAAATATTGAAACCAGTATTTTTTAAATATGTAACTAGATAATTTTGTATTATTCCATAATATTTTACTTGCATGCATCTTTTAAAATCCAGTCACAGAGTAATTTTATTCAAAGTCTAGTATTTTACCTATTAATTGATAACGCCTACCCATGATGCAATAATACCAACTTATATAAGCAATAATAAATCAAGAACCAAATTGAAATTGTTGTCAACTTTATTTTGGGGATTACATCTTTCATTTATGTTTGGCTGAGGCATAGGTTGTTCTAGCTGAGATTACAGAACAGAAAATTCATAGCATTTCTATATAAAATAAAGTATGCAAAAATGTATTAAACCGTCAACAACTTTAGCTTTCTTATTTTCAAAAAGGCTTTCTTATTTTTCATCCAAATTTAGTAATTTTAAGGATTTGCTAGAGTACATATGCATCAATTTTCAAGGTTGGTAAACTTACCATTAGATGAGTGACTTACCATTAGATGAAGTCAACCATGTAATTTCTTTATTTAAGTTGGAGTTCTCGCTAGCATGGACCATGAATACTGTGGCAGCTATGACCTTACAGTTTTTCAGAGTTCATGTGAACAAAACATGCTGCATATACGTGCAGGTGAGGGTGATTTCTTAATCATTTAAGTTTAATTTCCTCACAGCGAGGCACCATAGCAAACAAGGGAAAAAATAACTGGTTGCAAGTTTCACACTACGGTGTGTGCTGGCTTCATTAATTATCAGGAAATTCCACACATCTAAAGCCAAATGCTCGGATATACATTCAAAAACTAAAGTGTGAAAGTAGTACATAAAAACGGACATAGCTGTCGAATTGGCTTTTGTTCGATTTCCCGAGAACCAACACGTTTTAATATTATTACACATGTCTTGCATGTAACTATGCTCGTTTTGCATGAACCAACTACATTTTAATAAATCAGCTAAATAAATTAGCAGCCCACAAGCTGACTGCTGTACGAAGAACGTGACCTGCGCAATTCAACTCCAAGTAACTTCGCTCATGAAGGCCTACACCGTTTCACTCTCTAATTGACATGGTTGCATCTTCATCTTGTTCATGCAAATATCATCATTAATTTTATTATTCACTTTGCAGTCTCAATTATTAACAAATTTCATTCGTTATTTTCCACGCTTCTGGAGCTTAAGATCTCAAGAGACTAAATCATGTTGCCGAGAAAGTGCGATATGAATAAGTGATAGCTAAAATATGTGAATGAAAATGAAGGGGCACTGGTTTCCAATTTGGATTAAAAAAAAAACAGCAATAAACGAGGCATTCAATTCAAGCATTACTTGCTCATACATGTTTGTAATTGAACTTTTCATACAAACGAGACTTTACAAGCTACCTAATCCAGATGCAGGCAGTGAATTTAGCTTAATGATGACAGCGATATACTGATCAAAAACTTTGCGATGTATATGTGACTACTGAATGGTAACAACTTTTGCATGAAATGCATACCCGCATCAAATTGCACAAAGCTGTCTTTAGTGCTGTTCCTGTTTCTAATCCACAGGATCAATAACACCACAAATAATAGGTAACATAATGCACTCTTGCAGTACACTTTAGTGTTTCCTTTCTATGCAAGCACAAATAAAATTGTGAAATATAGTATGCTGTTTGGTAGCAGACATAACTTGCAAGCAGGAAGAAGCTATGCATGGTGAGGAAGACAAGTGATGTTACTTCCTAATGCAAGAAGACATTTTTGCTGAATACCTTTCATAAGGCATCTAATTTCACAAGGCATCCAAGCATTGTTTGCCTGCTTCATGCAATGAACATTTTTTTTTTTATTTTTGTACCTTGGTAACAAACTAAGCGGGTAATTCTGCATAAAATTAAAAGTTCAGGCGGTAGGTTGTAGCATGATGCACCAATTATATCTTGACAATTCTTCCGAGCTATAAAGCATATTCATGAAGGTCACTGGAAGTAAAATACTTGAATGGGCGTTCCCAAAACACGAGCGCATATGTAGCCACGCTATCTCGGTATATATCCAAGAACATCGCTTGAATAAAACCTACATACAATAAAAGCCTCTGGCTTGTATTGCATGTATAGCATGCAATACTATTGCATGCTCTACATGCAACAGTATTGAAACTTGAGCTAGTTCAAATGGTAGCATGTTTAGGCAAAGCGCAAAAATGGTAAAATGACAAAGATGAAGTAGAACATCAGGGACATGGATCAGTGCTACCATTCGTGCCCCTTCTGCTGTACTCAGTTTTGTCATGTTCGCCATGCACCTAAACATGTTTGCTACATGCTCTTTACATATTCATAATGTCAGAATAAAAGATGCCTTAGTTAATTTTACATGGGATTGACAGCAAACTTATGCCTGTATGCACAGCTATGAGATTACTACTTGATTTTCAGCATCTCTGCTAGCTACACGATAGATGTGTGCCTGTAGATAGAAAAAGTGTATGGCTTTTTAGCGGACAAAATGTACGTGAACCATAAAAAGACAGACTAGTTTTGTATGCCTTTTTACAATTCCAGCATAGTTTTTGCGCTGGAAATTCAACATGCCTATATTTTCATTCATAATGGTTTACCTTCACCAGACCCGCCAAGCTTTTTCAAACTCTTTTACTTACTGTGAATGCCTTGTAGATATTGCCTTTATTCCATACTTTATAACCATCAATAGCCTTCTGCATTTGTTATGAGACCAGAGACGTGGCAAGAAAAAGAAAGCAATATGTTCAAGGTAACTTACTAAACTAGCTCAAAACAACACAAGCAATGTTGTGTACAAGATTCAGCCATCATGTAAATGCAAACCATAAGTTATATGGTTTAGCCTTTCTACAATGACCATGGTGGCAGTGAGAGCGTGGTTAAAGCGTATTAAGACATTGTGACTTTGTGAAACTGAATGAAGCCACCTTGTCGCAGATTGGATGAACATGTGCTAACACAAAATGTCATTACATAAAAAGCACATCCACAACTCATTTGGAGGGGACACATTGATTCACACCAGCCTATACAACTTACACGTACACTCATTTTACACCACTGGTATCGCCACTAACAGCATTCACTGCTAATGGATGACTGCTCATGCAGTAACCACCCTTGGCTCACGCTAATATGGTGTAATGCTACAAGAATGGCTGTTTCCCCTACTAGAGCTTGTGGGTTTTTAAATATTAAATTTCTATGCTGTGCACGCAAGTTCTAGATCCAGCAATTATTATGTCATGCTGCCACAGTGTTTGAGTGAGAAATACCTTAAAACTAAAAAAAACTGCTTTTTTGGGGGGTCCACATAAAGGCAACAGACAAAGCAGATAAGAAAAGTGGATTGGACTTGCGACTTCAAGATCAACATGGCACAATTCTAAGGAAGGCCTTTAATTAAATAGAACCTAAGCTTACACAATCTTGAAAAACACTTTAGAAAATTTCAATTAAAGTTGGAAAGAAGATGAGAACTACGTTGCCCTACAAATTTGCTTCACTTATGTCTGTTGATGAACACATCCACATCCTTCTATGTGGACGGTACTTCTGACTGATGTTATAGCAAGAAGAGTCTCGACTGTCACTTCTTTGAGTTGCCATACAAGGCTTTAATGGTCAGTTTCTTGCTTCTTAATTCATCAACACACTATGTGGTGTCTGCATCAGTAAGGACTTTTCACACTTACAGCCAATAATCATGGGCAATGCTGGACAAGCTTTAAAATTTGGCCTAACATTTTAAAACATTCAGTAGAACTGACAGTTAAGCGAGTTGGTGTGAGTTCATAGTTGAAAACAGTGCAAAAGAAAATAAGGGACATAAAATTATGAGAACGCAAGGACGGGCGCCGGTCCTTGTGTTCTCATAATTTTGCGCCGGTCTTTGTGTTCCCATGATTTTGTCTTGCTCCTTGCGTTGCTCTTGAATATGCTAATAAAACATGACCGTCTTTTCAAACACATACTTCAGTGCTTATCAGCAACTGCTAGTACTGCTGATTGATTGATATGTGGAGTTTAACGTTCTAAACACTACTATGATTATGAGAGATGCCGTAGTGGAGGGCTCCGGAAATTTCGACCACCTGGGGTTCTTTAATGTGCATCCAAATCTGAGCACACAGGCCTACAACATTTCCGCCTCCATCGGAAATGCAGCCGCCGCAGCCGGAATTCGATCCTGCGACCTGCGGGTCAGCAGCCGTGTACGTTAGCCACTAGACCACTGTGGTGGGGCACTGGTGGTACCTGCTTGATATTCAACCTTATAGTTGGGCAATGTGCACATACACGCACAAAACAACAGAAAAACAAAGCTGCAAACAATGCATTCAATAGAAAGTGTGATAAGATGCTTCATAAAAGAGAATTACTACACAGAAGGCTGATTTGACAGCAACAGAAATAAAAGAGAAATGGACAGTTTGGGAAGAGCTGGAAGTGAGAGGTCAGAGATGCCAGGTGGAGGAGGTTTTCACTAGAGCTGTGTGAACAGAGTGACCGCGACACGAAAGCCCAACATGGGTGCCAAGAAGCATATCATGAAATAATATTACTTAGCAAAAATTTTTTGGACTTGAGGAAAATTCAAGACGCACTATTGCCACAGCATTGCCAAGATCGCATCCTCACGCCACCTCAGCTTGAACCGCAAATAATTTGTTGGGCCATCAGTCTTGTGGAGGCCCGCGTTGATTATCTCGTTCCAAGAAGCACAGACAAATGAACCGAATGCTGAACACGATCTTTTCACCATGTGACTTGGTGAAATGAATACAGAAAATTTGTCTCGAATTTGTGTTCTGAACATTCACACAGCTCTAGTATTTGGAATAGCCACAACCAGGCCGAGCTGATTAAAGGCTGCCATAAAGCAGTGCCATTCTGCTAATATTTGCATCACAAAGGCCCACAAGGCAAAGAATCATTACATTCATCCTTAAGTACAGACCACCAAGCTACCTACTTGTAATATGTATGCAAAATGTTCAATCGTGAACCAATAGAACGATTGCATTGGCACAGCTATTTTAACGTGCTAGGTATTGTGCACAGTGCTAAAAAATGTGTGCCAGTGTTCGTATTAAACGAAGTCCAAAACTGAGTTTTGGGAAGTAGTAGTTATTGCATGGCCCCACTACACAACTTGAGAATTTCAGTCATTGGTTTGTGGAACGAGCTACAACTCATTTATTTGTTTTTATGTGCAGCGACAGCGACTTGACTACAAGACACGTGGTTGGCGGCACCGGATATAGTTGTTACCACTAAAGGTTTCTCAGTGCGCAGCTAAATTCAAGTACATATGTGCTCGTGAATCTTATGACCATCTTAATAAAGCGCCCGCAGTCAAAATCAAACCTGCAACCATGGGCATAGTGGTGTAATGATGCGGTGACCGAGCTACAGTGGTGGGTTCAGGCTGGCTACTTCAGTGAAAGCCTTGTCACAATTACCTGCATTACCTAATAATGCTTCTGGAGGGGCACTTGCAACACCCGATACCTCACCACAACTGCTCATTACGTAAGGCCTCAATTTTGAGGTTCCTAAGCCCAACGACAAGAGTTGGCAGGGACACCACAAGCGTGGTTCTTGTGTTATCATTATAGTTTTCACATTAACAGCCGCTCTTTGTATGGTTCAGAACTGCAAAATGAATTCTTGGCGCTAGTTTATGACATAAAAACCCCAATTCCCTGGCAGTTGCAGAGCTAAACTGCATGCAAGGGTTCCGCGTTGCCTGTGCATAAATAGGATGAGAGTGGCAGGCGGCAATAATTAGTAATGTCTTTGCTATGTGGCTTTGCTAATGTGCTAATGCATTACTGCACTGAATCGAAAAAGTGCAAGTTTGTACACTCCTAGAAAACTGTACCACATAGAAAAATATTAGTTGTGGTATGTTTTTGACTGCTTACGTTTTTCCGTGCTATTTATTGTGGAACCTTTTATGATTGCAAATTTCGGCATAATAGCCAGAAAAGAATGCCCCATTCCAGTGCCAAGAGCTGTCTAGAGTACGACTAAGACGAATTAAAAAAATATATAAAGGCACGCCGTCGACTGGCACTGCAAGGAGCCAGCCTCCGTCTCACCCGCTCTCAACACCAGAGTTAAGGGAAGAAGGATGCTCACCCCAGACTTGACCTTGGGAGAAAGGGAAGAAAAAAAAAAAGGTGGGGGGCACAAGAATACCCCTTGAACACAAAAACAAAGAAAACTTACAGGTGCATGCACGTGCGATGGGCTATGATGCACGCACACACGGTGGTACAACACTGCTAAAGCGATGCAAAAAATCAAGCACAGCACAGACACGAACACAAAGAAAGAAAGACGTGCAACTCCTTTCTCCGCCTTCCATCTAGCTAAGCTTGTGCAAATAGTGAATTTTAGGTTCAAAGAGAATTTGGAGAGAATAGTTATTTCGATCAAATTATTTCGAATTAAAGACATAACATATATAAAGAAAAGTGAACAGCATTCTCATGACCTAACTAACCAGCACAATTATTTTTAAAAAATTGAAAAAAGGCCTGTACACGTGCATTTTTTTTGTTTAAAGGAAGTGGAAATAACATTGAATCGTATGAGGATTTGACTTGGATTAGAATGCCAGTGATAACATGTAAAATAGGTTATGTGTTAAAGTCTAATATTCTTAGGGTATATAAAATGGAAGTGACAAGCTTTTAAACTTAAAAAAATGATGAATTGATTTGAGGATAATATGTTCATTTATCCTTGATGTGGCAGAGCATATTTCCCATAGATAAATGTTTTCATGGGTAAGCACTTCTTGAGTGCAGCGAGATCACCTTGAAAGAGGATTACATGTGCCATAATATACATTTAGGTAGATGCTTTCACGGCTTAGCACAGTACCACTGCAGTGGAACTACCTTTACAAGAGGTTAGCCGTGCACTAATATTCACCTCGTCGTTCATTTCGAGTACTTGGAAATTTTCACTAATTTACATTCCAATCAAAGCAAATCTGAGTGCTATAATATTCGTTCAAATACTCGAAGCATTCAAATATTTGCACAAGGCTACATCTAACAAACTGGGCTCATAGGGGGGTCAGAACTTAGTCAATGGGATAATTGCTTTCATTCTCACCTCTCAATCAACTGTGTATCTGTGGAAATAAACCATTATTATTATTAATATTATTATTATTATTATTATTTTTACAGGTGCCTAGGTTTCCACCATTGTACAACAAAATTTTTCAGTGTGAGATGCCTCCAAGCATGCAATGCAGCAAGTGAACCGTGCTGGTGTCTCAAGAATATAATTAAACAAAAAATTTTCTGCCCTTTATGTCAGACATGGCCTCTGCTTTCCTGGCGAAATTCGAAGTTGCGGTGACAATCAGGCACTCGCATACACACCAGCACAGTGCAGTTGACATGTTCAAAGTGTTCCTATTTTCCACAATTATTGCAAGGTTGTGCACAATCCTTTCAAACTGATGCACTGTTCATGCTAAGGCGTGATAAACAATAAAATGCAAGGAGGGGTAAAACTAATAATGTATCACATGGCAACAGTACAACTGTAAAGTGTGGGCACAGTAACTGAACATCACTAATGCATGTAAACTTAATGCTGATGGTGCAACCAGATAATAATTCAAAATTTATATTATATAGTTTTCTGTTCTTATCACCTGTTTATGCTAAGTATTTGTTAATGGAAATGATCACCTAAAATGTGTAATCAGCTTCTTTAGCCTAGAAGTGCAAATTTACAATTTAATTATATAGTTAAACCTATTTGTAATAAACCTGCATGTAACAAATTCCTTGCTATAATGAAATTTTTCAATTCCCCACCATTACTTGCGCACTTTTACTCCCTCGTAAAAGTTACGATGCGCAGGGCTTTATTCTCAAATCAGGACTTGTTACGGAACATGGAAGCGACGACGAAAACTGGCGAGAGTGTCCACATAATTGCTATCGCAATATTAACGCAGTTTTTTACTGCTAAATAAGCGTTTTGGCTAAGCTCTGTCTTCGGTACTCCTTTTCTTTAATTTGCGCGTTTATCTTTCAAATTTTCATGCCCAACCTGCATATAACGAAATCCTCTTTATAACAAAATTTTTCAGAAATTATTTTGTTATATCCAGGTTAAACTGTAATCAACAAACTTCCAAATCACTTTCAGTGACTTCCAATCGCTCCCATCTTTCTTGTTTATAAACAAATGAAAATCATAACTGAAGGACGCTGTTTAGGCACAAAATACTTGAGACCAAGTGCTGTTGGCGCATAAACGTAAATGCATTCTATGCATGTGACACTGTACAGTGCTTACAGAAATTTTAATACAAGGTATCAGGTACAGCTTACTGCAAACAAATTTCACACACTAGACCCCAGCTATGAAAGCTGAACTTAGAGCTTCTGGCTTCTGTACATTCATACACAGTTCAAAATAATGAAAGAGACATCAATTATCATGCCTACTTGTCTGCCTACCTATTTACATACCTTGCTATGCAAAGTACCGCATTGATAACATGAAAAGTGAATCAGGGCAAAAAGTCAATGTTTCACAACTACAATGCTTGGGGGTTGACACTTTTCTCTAGTTTTCTAGTGCACACAACCTTGCATCGACAAATGCATGGTGCAGGGCAAGTAAAGAAAATGCATTCTCATTACACCAAAACCTAACAAAGCCAAATCAGCATGCATTTCAGTAGAAGCAAGTAAAGCAGCGGGTTAGCCAAGTATTGTTAGAGCATCGCAGTTTCGTTCAGCAAGATAGATTTGTATAACGAGACACTTTTGATGCTTCAGCAGGTCTGTTTAAATACTACCACTCATAAAACGACACATAAGGGGGGGGGGGGGGGTGCAGCTGAATCATAGGTTCCTTATTCCTTATTGGTACCATGGACATGCATGAGATGTGCATGCATGAGCCCCCTTTCTCTTCCTTCAAGGAATCATCGGGTTAATTGCACACAATTTCGTGTAATGAATAATGAAATTGCTTTGCATCTATATTTTTGTACACAACAACTCGCAGCTCTATATAAGGTAAGGCTACTCATGCTGACACATATTAACTTCGATGACGATTGTATGAGCAATTGAGTCGGAGTAACAAGAAATTTATGCGGCCATAAAAGAAGGCTACTTCTATCTGCGTAACCTCTGTCAACAGGACTGTTTCAGACAGAAACGAAGAAAGTTGGGAATTCCTGCCAGTAACCGAGCAAGCACATCTGATTAAGGAGAAAATTTCAGCGCAAACCAGAACACATCACAAAGAATATATGAGACAAGCACTGGTGCAGGCCCGTCCTGGCTCACGGCAAAGTTTCAATTAATGCTATGTACCAACTAGGCCGAACAGAAGTTTCATTACTCCTTATTCTAAAAATACAGCCCAGTCAATAAAGCACCTATCCAAAGAAGAAAATTGATGTCATTTTATCACTGTGTTACTCGAAGTGTCTTAATACTAAGGAACAGAACATGTGAAGATAATTGCACCTTCAAATCAGCATACATGCATTACTGCCGTGATAGACAGTATGGTGAGAATGAGCCAATATAAGTGCATTGTAGAAGTTGCCTTTCATGCTAGAATACCCAACAATGTTAACATCTTCCAACAAAATTTTACTTCAGCAAAGTTGACTGTGATTGGCCAGTTCGTTTATGACATACTACTTCAGTGATATTGCAGTTGTAGGGGCCATAAAAGTCATGCCTATGCCAACAATGCATGCATCTTGTATTTAAGAAATCTGCGACTAACCCCAGCCTGTACCGACAAGTTCACAGGTTCTCCGCAAACTATGCACCAACTAACTAAACGCAGCACTCTGTCAAGGACAGAAGACAAGCTGAACTCATGGAGCGTATATTTACAAAGAAAGACTGATAACAAGATCAACTCGTCCAGTGTGTGTGTGTGCCTTTATTTTTCTCCCCTCTCCACGCATATGCCTGGAGATGATCTGAATGTCTGTGATGGTCTGCACTTCTTCTAAACAGCGTACATATACCTTATGAGTGTTCATTAATAACATCGGACATTGCAATGAACTGAAGATGAAGAGTAAAGTTGAGAGCATAGACTGTAAAAAAAAAATTTGGCAGTTGCAGAGCCTCATCATCCCCGAGTGATTTGTGAACTGGCAAGTGCAACAATGGTACGCAGTCAAGCCATTCTTCAGTTCAGCATGAAAAAGTTCTACTAGCGAACTGCCTTTCAACATGAAGGTGTTTTATGCCAGAGTTCGCCATGTCTTCACTGATATATTCCCATCACGTATATGAATATATACCAACCCAAGGTTCTGTCAAGGGGGGCGTCGAACCAGCAACCTCACAATCTGCAGCGTGCAGTGCTATCCGCTAGGCCACTAACTGTCAGCTGTCAAACATGCTAACGGCAAACCATTTACATACGCCATATACCATTTGGCAGTCCTCAGAGCTCAAACTTTAGCACATTTTCGTCAGCAGTGGCGAGATGGCGCGGGCGGCTAGCGTTTGGCTTAGTGTATGGCACACTCTAACGGTCGTCACCTCTCGCGCTTCAATAAGTGCCGCCTTCACGAAGTGTGGTCTCTCCTGCGCGCACGCTAATCAGACTCGTCATTTAGAAGAGCACAAAGGTCACTTTGCTTGCTGCCACGGCCGTGTTTAGGAAAGGAACCAATGCTCATACAGTTGTTCGCACTAGTCCTTTGAATACTTGTGCGCTCGTTTCTTGCATCTTTCTTCTTGATCGCACATCCCTCTTTAAGAGTCGAGCTGTGACGGTTGTTAATCCGCACTCGTGCTATGTATGCTCATTTCGTGCGTGCTTTCTGCTTGAGGTGTGCGTTGCAAGTTTGGAGCTACTTGGTGTCCTTTGCATGACTTTGCGATTTGTTGCTGTAGCATTTATTCCTTCGCACTTGTGGCGAAAAAATGCACAATAAATGCTTAACTACCTCTGTGAAAACACGTTTCACTTTCGTGTTATACCGCTTCCTAGAAAGAGGGATCAGCGATCAGCGATGTTTTTTTAAGAAATCTTGCACATGTAGCTTTATATTGTCACAAGAATATTCTGTACACATTAAATATTCCGTTTATTTGCAAGTTTTACCAGTCTTTTACCGTTCTAAACAGGTTAAAGCTCATGGATATTTGCACTAGAGTTCAGGCATGAAGCTACTCGTATCCTCGAGCCTTGCAGAAAATCATACTCTTGTCAAATAGTTGAGCCAATCAGCACCCACTCTTGAATGTCTTGTGTCTTCAGGTGCGTCTTCATGCTACCACAATGAAGTTAACAAAAAATTTGTCTACCTCATAGTATTCATTACAATAGTGTTAGATCTAGCTGCTAAGTAAGCAGCTAGATCTAACAGATTGCAAAAAGAGGTGAGGCTTGTACAACTAGACAGCGAAGCTGTGAGACAAGTGATGGGGAAGAGAGGCTTGAATGAAGACAGAATGACACATGCCGATGACAATATTGAAGTGACAATGGCAGACTGATAATGACAATGAAAGCATGTCAACAAAGAAATGACAATAAGATGGTGGCAGCTTAGCGATGATGGCATGACGATGATGGGAGTGTGAAGATGACTGCATGACAATGACAAAATTATTGTTTAAGAAACAAAAATTACAAGATAGCCAAGAAAGAATGATTACAGCGACGTGAAGACAACTGCTTATACATGCTAGAGATCATGACTGTGTTTACATAGATCGCTGGCCGCTCAGTGTTGCCTCACTTAGCTGGTTTGCACGACACCCAGGATTGAGCAATCACGCACGACATTAGCAGCTAGCAAAACACAAGAAGTGAGGGGAAGAGGTATACAAGTGTCCAGATTTAAGACAAAATATCAAGAAAGTGTCACCATTACGTATAAACTTTTCAACAAAAGTATTTGAGGGTGCGATTTGGGTAGATTGTGTCCTGGAACGCCCCATTGATATTATACCACCTTGCTCTAGGAGTTTTGATGATCACATCAATTCTGCCCAAGTGAGCTTCTTCAACACACATCTACGATTTCAGGCCTGGGATATGAAAATATTCACTTCTTAAAATTGTGGAATCGGAACATGATTATAGCCACTGGTACTTTATCCTGAACTTTCTTGTACAACAGCAGTTCGCTGTGCACCACAAGCTGTCGAGGCCAGGCAGTCAATGGTGAGGTAAACTTATGCAGCCACACCAATAGCGAAAGACAGCCCAACCACCAAGATGGCGAAGCGTAGAATGAGTTAAAAGAGAAAGCACAGAAGAAAGGGAAAAAATGTGTTAAAACAAACAGCATTTTTGTCTAATTATACCAGACAGAACTCTGGCACTGTCGTAGTGCGAATACTATGGGAGATATAGGATATCATGGTAGATGTTTGTGGACATTGCATCTGTGACTTCAAGCCATTACTTTATGATGTTTTATTAGCCTGTATCCTCCTTATAAACCAAAGAAATAATGTATTTTCTATTTCTCTTAGAACCCTCTCCCCCTGAATAGAACAAAAAAAAAAAACGAGAATTTGCACCCAACTGGAATTGCCTGAGCTAACACTAACTGCTGCATCTTCAACAATTATATATATATATACCGTATTTACTCGCATAATCGGAGCACTCGCATAATAGGCGCACCCCTAGTTTGGTAGCGGAAAATTCGATTTTTTTTTAATTCCGCGCATAGTAGGCGCACCCCGAACTTGGCCGTGATCAGAAACGATTCTACCGCCCCAGCGGTACAGTTGGAACGCGGTCCCCGTACCCTGAAGAAAAAAAGAAGGCAAATCGACGAGCAAATAAAAAAAAATTCGAAGTGCAACGACCTAACGAACGTGTTTGTCGAAATAAAACTTGAAAAAAAAAAAAAAAGCGTCCATGAGCGAAAAGAAAAACGGCTGTTCCATCAATTACTGATACCCCCCAAATCGCCGCGCTTTTTGGAGGTCACGTGTACAACGCCGGGGGCTCGATCGCCATCACCACCATCAGAGAAAAAGAAAGAAACGCCATTTTGCAAGCGGTGTGCGTATGTTGTGATCGTGTATTGAACTTTGGTTCCACCATGGGGAAGTACGCGAGCTACACGGCTGGGTTTAAACTGAAGGCAGTGCAGTACGCGCTGGAGCACGGCAACCGGGCTGCAAGCAGGCATTTCGGCGTTAGAGGAACCAGTATTCGGTACTGGAGGGACCAAGAAGAAAAACTTAAGGCGACGAAGAAGACACGACGGGCTTTCCGCGGTGCCAAGACCGGCAGGTATCCGAATGTCGAAGAGCAACTGGTCCGGCATATACGGGAGCTACGACAAGACGGCTGTGCTGTGTTGTTGGATATTGTGCAGACTGAGGCGCGCAGAATAGCCCGAGCGCAGGGCATCGAAGCAAAAGAGTTCAAAGCCAGCTCCGGATGGACAACTCGTTTCATGCGGCGCCATGGCCTCGCACTGCGAAGGCGGACCACCTTGTGCCAGCGCTTGCCCGCAGCATATGAGGACAAAGTGGTGGACTTCCACAGTTTTGTTATAAAGCTCCGACAGCAGAAAGACTTCATTTTGTCCCAGATCGGCAACGCTGATCAGACCCCCCTTTGCTTTGATATGCCGTGATTAATTGGTAAACGATAAAGTCGCCTTTTACTTGACAAGTGTGCAGATTTAAAGCGCGAGAACCGAGTTGAAAAAATTTTCGAAAATTTTATCCCGCATAATTGGCACACCCCTAACCTCGAGCCGGATTTTCTGAAAAAAAAAAAGTGCGCCTTTTATGTGAGTAAATACGGTATATAAATTCTGCAAGTCACAAAGATGTCTTTTAGGCAAATCCACACAGCACTCGTCCATCCCCTGCTGGTGGAGCCATTTTGCTCGAAGAGTCCGCAACCCCCAGCACCAGAGTTCCCTCTAGCTGTCTAGTAGAAAACTTGGACAAAAGACACAGCAATAAAACGAAACGCAACTCACATGATTGAAGGTGTAGCAGTTCTTGAAGATGAGCTTGACATCGGCAAGGAACTCGGGCACATCCTCGTAGTGATTGAAGTGTGATGGCGAGAGCTTCTGCTTTATTGTCGTCAGATCCATGGGCTTAGTGATCACCTTGTAGTAGTTGGGCACCTGGAACACGTCCATTATCAGATTCCGTACGATTCAGTGCTTTAGTTATCGTAGAGGAAATGAGCAGAATGACACAGCTCCTATAGCGAGTAGCTTGACCATGTGGTTGTACTCTTTCTTAATGATGCTATGGAAAGTTGGCGGAATAAGAACATACCTAGTATGTAAAGAGTACACTACAAAGATGGATGAAGTTTTCTCAGTAGAGTACTGTGAGGTCGTGAGTCGTGTCTAAGTTAACCAAGGAATGTTTGCAAAATAACACAGAGTCTATAGAAACGTGCAAGTGCGGAGCTGACAAAAAAGAGAAAAAAAGAAGAGGGAGAAAGAAAAATTGCATTCCAAAACAACACTAAATGCATTAAGAGGAATATAGCACATTTAGACGGTAAGAGTGGGACAAGGATGAAGAGGAAAAATAAAACGAGCATTTTGAGCGAGCTGGTATTCATTTACAACACGTTCAAGATGCCTAATCAAGTCCATTCATGAGGTGCTCCAGTTGTGATTACCATGAGTAAAAGGAAGCTTTTGCTGAAGGCTAGCTACATTTAGGCAACTAGTAATTCTGTCTGGTTGAACTTCTTAAATAACTGATAAGGAAAGCCAGGTTAAATCACTAGAGTCTGAAGTTCCTTAAAAAAGCACCCCATCGGTGTCTTCAGTGATGGCGCGAAGTGTAAGCAAGCCTGTCGCATCCTCGACCGCAAAAGCACGGCCACCCACACCCTCACGTGGTCGCACATGAACGAGCTGGCCTACTCCAAGGTGCAAGGTCTCGATTTCCGCGAGCATGCAAAACTCATTCTTCACCAGCCCACAGCGGTGGAGAACAGAGATAAACTGACCACATATAATGAAATTACCCATCATATTTATCTAGGTAGAAAAGAGACACTTTTCTCTTCCTCACTAAAAGTCACACAGAGTGCCGGCATTAGCTCCCAGATGATTGCAGACAAATTCATATTCCAGCCCGTCTTTATTACAAAAGATTTATCCCGATACACGTCCCGGTAGCTTTTAGAGGCACTGCAATGACTTCGCTAGCCCGGACCATATGCTCTAGGATTGCCCTTCATTATGAGGCATCCAATTGAATGGGGGCCAGAGGCTATCTGCTATCAAAAGCCCCAATGCCGGGGCTCAACTATTGGCTGTCTGGAGGGACTGTGCACCACAAGACTTCCCAACAAGTTCTGCGTCCACCCATGCATATCAGTATGGCAAAAATGAATTACTGCACACAAAACAAATACATACGTACTTGAGAAAACTAAAACACACCTGTTCAAGCATCAAAAGAAGACAAATGTAACCTCTGTAACATTTACCGACTAAAGTGAAACTGTCAAGACGCTTTCAAGGATATCAGAAAATGGCCCATGTAGCACAATTTCTTCCAGTTTTGTTATTTACAGTATTGTAATGATGCTTCCTACTGCAGAAAAACAGAAATTGTAAAAAAAAAGATGGCATAAACAGAAAATCTAGCACCTACAGTCAATTGAAACTTTTTATTCAAGTTCAACAAAAGCTTAAAAACACCCTCAATGCAGCAAATGCTAAAAAATATTGCTCCCGCATTCTCACATCTACTTAGACAGGAGCCCCTGAAGGTGCAGAATAACAAGAAGCACCAGGTCAGTCTGTATTAGTAAAGTATGCTTCTTCTATCTGCCACGCTGGATACTGTAACAGCATGAACCAACATAAAGGACGTGCATGTGTCCAGAACTTGTGCTGACTCACCGTTCGACTGACAGGAATGTGGAATGGTACACTCAACTCGTGGCAGAAGAGGTGAAGCAGGATCCTTTCGCATATCTGAAAAGAAAAGACACGCATGGTATGAGTGACACAAAACATTTTTTTTCATTTACGTTAGGATCATGAACACTTGAACATATCAAATATGAACTCTATTTTTTATGAACCCTTTACCACAAGTTCTAGATTATTTAAAATTGAATTGATCATATTTCTAATAAAATGGCTATATGAATCCTCCTGAAATAAATGTAATTAAATTCTACAGTTATCAGAGGATGCAAAATGCAATTAGTATGCTTCTAGCTTTAGTACAGTGAAAGTGGTCAAGTTCCAAAGTTCACTTTTCGAATACTGAGAATAGACATATTTTTATTTTTATCTTTTTTTTCAAAATTTAAAGCTCCCTCCAGTATTAGTATATAGTCCTTTCTTGCACTCAGTAGACATCCAGCTTTTCAGAAATGCAAAAACGACCAAAATAAAGTGTACAGAAGTTGAGAAATGCTTGTCGGAAGAATGAAAGGTGGTCAAAAAAAAATTAAAACTGAGGAAATAGCAAAAAACAAAATTTTGTATATCTAAGGAGCACTGCACAGATAAAAAAAAAATGCTTTACAATTCAATAAATGCTCTAGAACCTACGGGGCAGCAGGAGAGAAGTATATCTCTATATCAAAATTGTTTTTTCAATCAAAACAGCCCCATTGCTTGTCTGGCAGTTAGTCTTTTTCAAGCAGTTCATTGAAAGTCAAACAGAGGACTGGCAGCACAAAAAGGCAGAAGTTTCACGCCGTCAGTTCCAGGTTTGGTTTAGAGGCGGTCAGTGAGTTGCACAATCTTGCTGAAGTTGAGGACTGCACGCAGGGCAGAGCACACATGATGAGCTGATCCTACTGGGTGGAAAATGTCATCCACTGTAGCAGAAGACAGTCCCAGCTGCTTGTAGTACGGAGAGAGTGCTTTGCGGTGACCAGAGAGGGCCGGCCAGGAGAGGAGGAAATGCATTAAGATTTTACGGTCACTGCAGAAGTGTGTCGTTGCACCCTGGAGGCAATGCCGGCCCCAGGCGGGAGACAGAACTCCGGAACGCAAGGAGGAAGGAGCACTCTTCTCGTTAGCGTACCCTCTGGTAGATGGCGTGCTGATGAGTCGGCGGCTAAAATCCCTAGAAATAACCGAGTGCTATTCATGCCACCGTGCAGGCTCCTCCTCTCACGCGTGCTTGGCAGCCTTGGTAGTGCAAGTGTTACTTTGTCTGTCTTCGGCCGCATGTTTCATTTTGCTTCCACGACGAATTGGCGAGGAGAGGAGGCACTGCACCATCTTACCCTCTCGTGTGCACTGGAGAGGGTATCCTCGTGTCTGCAGTTTCTTGCTAAATGCTGTAGGGGCGCTGCTGCAGCTGCTGAGAGAGGAGGTGAAGGCAATCGATTGGCGCTATTTTAGTTCTTTTAGTTAGTTCTTTTAGAGACTTTACCAGCGGCCGTACGTTGTTCAGGATAATTTCGGATGAGCCGAGTTCACGGAGTTTGCTCACATTGACAGTAGAGGTGAAGGGTCGTGCGCTGTCCTTGCCAGGTCATTGACAGCCTTGTTCCCTGCAGTGCCAACCTGGTCCTTCAGTGGATGGAATCCACTGAAGGACCATGTCGCAGCCGTGATCATGCAGGCTGTGCAGCGACCACACAACACGTTGTGAGAGTGGGGGTGCCCCGTCTTTCTTGGCGAGCTGGCGTAGGGCAAATTTCGAGTCTGTGAAGATAGCCCCGTGTGAGACTTGCAGACATTCACTGATGAGGTCTGCAGCGAGAAGGATGCGTACCAGCTCGGCCGTGGTGGATGAGGCGCGGTTAAGAAGCTGGCATTCGTGCTTCAACGAGAGCTGTGGCGCTGTGCAAGCAGCGGCCACATAGTGGTCCTGTAGGACGTAGGAGTCAGTGAAAAACTGTGTCCTACCATCTAGGTCCTGGTCCATTCTGGCGGCGGCTTCCTGATTGATGGCACAAGCTTAGGTGAAGCGGCACTCTTTAGTGAGGTGGCGGCCAAGGGGGAATCTCAGGTGCACTGTCCAAGACAACGAAGTAAAAGGTGTCAAATAAAGATTTGACGCACGAGTTGGGCAATGCACGCAGCTGGGAGAGGATGGTAGCCCCGTTCGGTGCATGACTAGGGCGCTCAGCGGAGTCTCACGAGCAGCGAGCGGCGCGCGGGAGAGTGCTGTGCCGCCATAGTCTCGGAGAGGCCTCGCACACGCTTTCCAGATCAGCTATGACTTCCAGATGGCTATGACTTCAATATGGTGTATTACCCACAATGTAGAGCGCTGCTGATACGTGTTATTGAAAACAGTGGAGATTCTTGTTCCACATATTGATACCTTTATGGCTCGATCTTTGTGAATTTGTGACAACGCGTATTACAAGCATCAGGTCTGAAGGAGCAAAGTAAGTGTGCAAACACGTTGAAGGCATCAGATGCAGCAAGGTAACTATACATGAGATTAAGTTACAGAGTTTAAAATCTCACATTTTAAGTGGGTTATGAGAAAAGTTGTACGATAGAACTTCACTTTCATTTTCGTGGATATTTGTCAATGCCAGCCTAGCAACAGCGAAAGGGTTTTTTCTTCTCTTTTTTTTTTTTATTGATATCCTATCATAATTTCGCAAAGTGAGTGAAGATCTGAATTATCTGTGACCTCACACACAGAAGTTCGAAACTATGCACGCTAACTTCGTTTAAAACTACAGTGCACATGTCGCGACGGGAATTGAGCACATTCACATCCATGCCGTGCAAGTATTTCTCAAAGCACCAATTACTGAAACAAGCACAATATTTTTAGATGGCTGCCATCTACGACCAACAAATCGTGCACTACAGGCAGTGACCCTTGGTTTGAAAAGCCACGACATTAAAAAGTAGTGATTTGCAGTAACTTCTGTCGAAGAAATGCAGACACACGCAGCTCTGTTCTGTTATATTAACTCTATGCAATGCTGCTATGCAGAAAAATGCCGCCAGCGGAACTTTCATGCCAACCAGCATGTGCTTTCAGAGAGGGGATGGTGGGTGGGGTGCTCGCAATGACATGACACTGTTCGCAAACAGGGAGAGGTCTAATACACCTCTCCTGGAAACAAGAGTGACGGGTTACTCAAGAAAAAGGGTGGCTTTTTCGAATGTGTGTTCATTTAGAGCATAGCTAGTTTTGCAGTTGTTTTTTTTTTTTCATCACATATTTTTACTGTCTCCTCTTAGTTGATTTTTGTTAGCTCCTGCCATCGCCCTGGTTTTCCTTTAAATGTCTGTTTGTGTTTAATCAAATGCCCAAGTCTGCTTTAAGAATTCGCCAGTCAGACCCAAAGATCACCACACGTGCTACGCCGTACAGGCCGACCAGCCTTTCAAATAAATTTGAAATGTACCACTTTCAGGCCTTTAAGGCGTTTCAGGTCAAAATGTAATGTGAAAGTCTGAAAGTCTGCCACACGTCGCAATTAGATCGACGGGGCCTCACTAGAAGTGTGGGACACTTGGCGTGGCTAGATTATTGGTTTGGCTACAGTGGTGCCCACTGGATCACATAAGCTGAACTACTTGTTAATTTGTGGTGGCCTCAGCAACATATCAAAACCACATTTTTTCTTTCTACCTGATGCATTAGCCAAATGTGGGTGCAGTCACATCAGTGAAGTCAGTGTTTTTTTGACAGCCTGCTATAAAGGCACCTGAAACTTCTGCCAATGTTACACATTATATCCTTGTGTTTCAACTGCCACAAGATTACCTGAATAAGCAAGCATATTTTAATTCGTCGGTATTCTAATTATCCAATTCAGTGGGCACCGTAATCATAAAAAGGTTATGTATATGATGCCAAGTAAGGACTACAGCTTGGGATTTCAAGTTACATTCACAGGCGAAGAGGAAAAATTGGCTTCATCAAGAAATCTTCAATACATACATTTTCCCTCAGAGGAGGAGTGTTAATAATATTTCTAAAGGTTCGCATGCCAAAGCCACAGAATGATCATGCGCCACACTGCAGTGAAAACATTGGATTGGTTTCAACCTGCTAGGATTCTTTGATCAGCACTGACATCACACAGTACACCAGCCTCTAGCATTTCGCCCCAGTCAATATGCGACCGCTGTGGATGGGAATCAGCGTTTTTCGGGGTCAGCACTTGCGCAGGTTAAGCACTGCGTCACAATGGAGGCCAAGAGGACATTTCAAATTCATCTTAGCTCTACGTTGCCACCCATACATTGAACACACAGGACACAGCACGGAATATCACCTGGTGCTTAAGTCAACACTGTGTCCTATGCATTTGATATCCCATATTAGGCTCCATTCTACCATAATGAGCATCGACCAAGAATCATAGAAGAAGCAGCGACTGACCAGCAGCTCCCTCCCGCTGAGTCCCACTGGAGTCTTGCGCTTGGAGCCCGCTGACTCCCGAGGAATGTTACACTTGAGGATGTCGAGGCACAGAAGGCAGGTCCAGTCCTCACTGCACAGGGAAGGCGAAACATCGCTCAAGATGCAACTATTGCCAGTGGCCACAACGACCGTTTCATTCAGAACTACACAGTTATTTAGAAGGAGCTCTGCAACACTCTTTAAGCGTGGTTCGAAAATACCGCCGACTTACAGTTGAGGCCCCTCAAAACATGCGAGTCAAGCATGCAAGTCAAACCACTGACCTGGGTGTTGCCCCCAAGGAGGGCACATGGCACTGTAGGTGGTAGACACGCGGACAGGAGCCGCAACAAAGCAGTTCGCCGCCGTCGTGGCACACTGAGCACCAGTCCTCATTCGGGTCCGAGCTGTACAACATACAGAGGATTATCAGCAGCAGAAACTAGGTATGGGCTTCCCTTCAGAGTTCTGGGTACACACTATAACAATCACCAGACATCTGCTAGAATTTTTTTTTTTATAAAAGGTACTGCCACACATCACTGGTTATTTATAGTATGTGAAAAGATTTCCCTCAATGTGCATGCATAAATTAATGGCACAGCATTCCATGCACTTAAGGGTTTTCAAATAAACCAAAAATTCTTCCAATTAACCGAGATTGAATAAGCACGGTTTTTATGCACCTGCATCATGCAATGCACTACAAAAATGAGAGACTGAATCAAGAAAAAAATCACACTGTTTAGTATTTTTATGCTTATGTTCTCTCCCACATAAGATCTTAGATATTAGAAGCTCTATAGATCCAGATGCTTTCTGCCCTTGTGGCCGCTTCAGTATGCATGAGCATACTCAAAACTAACACAATACAAGGAATGCTACTGATGCAAAAAAAAAAAAAAACACATACAGTGTGCCACACTGTGCTCATTGTGAACAATATTCCCCATAGGTCTCAGCAAGGCTCCTTTTATAACTGCACTGTGCCCAATATTAGACAGAAGGCCATTGGCTCAAACAGCCTCATACCAATTTTCTAATATTGTACAAAATGGTGGTAACTGGCCCAGTGAATGAATGAATCATTCTTTCTCTCTAAATAGAAAAAAATGAATATTTACTGCAGATGTAGGATATTTTTAAAATTTTTATTATTTATGTATTAGTTTGACAATACACGATTGTCATAGTGTAGAAGACAAAGGGCAATGGTATGAGTAATCCGGCTAGGCCTCTATCACCACGCTGTACATTTGTCACACAATGCAATTGCATTGGAAAAAAAAGAAATACAGGAGCACAATGACATTATGGAGAACTAGGAGAACGTGCATACTAAATAAAGAACACCACAAGGCTTGAAAAATGTGTTACGTATGCGTATCACTGCAAAGGGCAAAGAGAGCAATATAGGAGCATAAATACAGACTTTTGTACATGAATGGCCAAGTGAATGGGTTTGTTATGCAACACTTTATGCATACATACATGGGGAATGGAGCACCCAATTAGGTTCAAAACTACAAGCTTCACAGTAAATATGGTAACTAAATGTACTCAAAGAAGTACACCTTCGACTTCTTTCCGGATGACTAGGCTTGTGCGAATAGTGAATTTTAGGTTCGAAGCGAATAGTGATTTAGATCGAATAACTTAGAATCGAATTCGAATGGTATGTATGACATATAATAAAAAAGGGAATATTCAGCATGACATAATAAACCTGCACAATATTTCTTTTGAATTGAAATAGGGGCTCTAGGCAAATGCTTTTTTTTTTTTTTTTCGTTCAAAGGAAGTCGAAACAACCTTCAGTAGTAGCTTTGGTAGGATGCGAGTGATAACCTGTAATATACTTATCATTTTAAAATTTATTATACTTGGAGAATATCGATTTGAGAATTGATTTGAGGGTAACATGTTCCTTTAAACTGGGCCCTGCAACACTTTTTCTAGTAGCCGTGGAGCCAGAAACATGCTTGTTGCCTCACAAATTTACCGCCGCAAAGTTTCTAGAATCAGTCCAGTACGAGTGGAGTTCCAAAAAGTTCTCACACGCTGCAATTGCATTCTCTCTTCTCGTCCAGACAAAATAGCTGGAAGCTAAGCAGGGAGGAATGGCATGGCAAAAGAAAATACATCACACGCACCTCGTGACCTTGGACACGTCTTTTTTTTTTTTTTTTGTCTTCGAATACGCAGCTTTGCAGTGTGAATCGAGCATGTACTCGTGGACAAGCGGCGGTCTCCCGCGGTGGCCCTGGTAGCGACGAGCGTGCTATGCTCAAATCAGCTAATGGCTGTGACAAGCGATTTTTGAGCTTGTAGTATCATTTGCTGAGGGAAGAGAGCAACTTCTAGCTTTGAAAATTTATTGTTAATTACAGGCCACGCGCTGCGCTATAATATTTGCCCCGCGTATTCTCGGTAGCCTCAACTACCGATCGGCAGCGTTTTCTGACCATGTTCAATAAGTGTTGCAGAGCCCCTTTAAATTGAAAGAAGGGCTTCGCGACAAAGAAATTTGTCCTGGATGGCGCTTTCACGACGAAGCATTTCTACATTGTAGTGAAACTATTTTAACAAGCGGTGAGATGCAGATTATATACACCTATTCGTTTATTGTGAATACTTAAAAAATATTTGATAATTTAAATTCAAATCAAAGCGAATTCGAATACTCAACTATTCGTTTAAATATTTGAAGCATTTGAATATTCGCACAAGCCTATGAATGACGATGTGAAATAATGCACTATCTGGGTTGGTACTTCTAGACGAATGTTTAGTATATGAGGGATTTGCCATTTTAAAAGTTGCTGAGCATGAGTGGTGGTAGATCCACACATCTAGATTAAAATCCATGTCGCTCCTCTCTTAGTATGAATACGCAAGAATAAAATGTTGGACTAGCTTATTCATAGGCACGCCAACAAGCACTGAATGACAGGGCAAGAAAGTAATGACAAAAAGATTGCACCAATGTCTGTGCCACCTCTTGTCTCGTCCTGCACTGCTGGTTGCCATGACTAAGCCGAACAAGCATACATATCCCCTCTCCACTCACGTCTGCAGGCTGTGCGTCTCTACTATCTTCAGTCCCGTCCCGTTGGCTGTGTCGCCCCCAACATTGTTCTGTTGTGGTGGGGTGCAAGAGGAAGGCGAAGCCTGCGCTGCAGAAGAACTCTTGGAGGCAGCAGTTGGGCCGTTGCTGGTGGCCACAGCTATGGTCGATGAAGAGGAAGAGGAGGCGTCCTGTGCCGGCAAGTCGAAGCTCTTGTCGCCGATCTTGAGCAGCTCCTCCAGAGTTGAGAGGTCCTCAAAGCAGTCCTGGACGCCCCCTGAACCTTGCGTCGTCACAGTGGTCGAGTTCGCTGTGGACGCGGACACTGTGGATGGGGTGCGGGAGGAACTGCTGCAGACCGGCTCAGCTATGGAGGAAGGGCTGCAGCTGCTGTCTGCTTGGGGCTGGCCACCTTGGGCACCCTGAAATAGAATGCAAGGTGAGGAGTAAGGCAATGCAAGTCTGCCTGTCCAGAGATAGGCTTAGAGAAACAGTTGCCAACAGCCCCTTTTAGCCAAACAAGACAGCATGGAACATACAACGCTCATCACTTGTTCACTCACGCGAAAAGGTAAGTGCTCGGCAAGCTGTTCGTACATGGCTAACTACAATGAAATTGAAAACCAATAAGTCAAAATGCATTAACAGAAATCTAGACCTACTGTGCAAGCAGAAGACAGAAAGAAAGGAGACAGTTATCCTGTCTCCATTTTTCTTTCTGGTTGCACACTGAGTCTAGATAAAGATTTAAACCAAATAGTCTGCATTGCTGCATTGAAAAAATTGAAAAAAACCAAGAAATGCAAGAGACAATGGTGAATAGATAGGACTACACAATTGCCATCTTGTGCAATTCTTGTATCTTGTGTGTGCACCTATAGTTTGATACAGCTTTAGAAGTCTGCAATATATTCTGCTCAAAAATAGCATATATTTGAATTAAATATCTCAATCCAACTGACATTTCATACAAAACTGTCACAAAAATGTAGGACATCTGTAGGAAAGACAGACTGCGATGACTGAGACCAATCAGTAGGCGTAGCCTTACAGTGGGTCGCTATAATGCCTATCACTTTTTGTTTTTAAGAACTTTTCATCTGTCGGTCTGCTCATGAAGGCTTTACACTACGTCAAGTAGAGTGTGGAGAAGACCAACACACCTTCTCCTGACTTGTGTCCTTTGCGCCAGTAGATTGAAGTAGGTTTCCGATGGACCGGTTTGCAAAGTCGTTCTGCAACGAAAAAGTACGAGGCAATATGAGAAAGAGCTAGTAAAGTTTAAGCTATGTCTGAAAAAAAAAAGCATATGCAAAAATAAGGAAAAACCCGTCAGTAAACATCATTTCTCTCTTTTCAATTGTACTCCGGCTTACTAATAAAGAAACCGTGCGTGTGAATAACCAAGAATTCAAACAGAAAGCTTCCAGCTATTGAGGATAATGCATATTCCATTATATAAAGTAGTGAAATAGTAGGACTTGCCTCGACATGCACAACGCAGTAACTCATATATTGAGCTCCTTCATAAGACGCATGCATTGGGCAGCAATCGTTCTCTTATACGAGGTTTTTCTTATAAGCAGGGCACCACACATGTATTTTCTTATCAAAACCTATTTCAATACAGGCACTGTGGTGTCTCTTATACCCAACTGTCTGTTACATCAGCATCTCTTATTAAGGGGTTCGAATGCATTTAAATGCCTAAACAAGGAATGCTCAACGTATGCTAAAAGCCCATCACAATGAAAGAAAAAAATTGTCGAGAGCTCTTTCTAAATGCGAAGCATTTCTTAGCGAACTTCAGCGACTTTGAGCGTGTCTGTCCGTCCGTCCGCCCGCCCGCCCGCCCGCCCGCCCGCCCGCCCGCCCGTCTAGCCGCCTACGACTTTTAGCTCTCCTGGCCGTTTCAATAATAGTATCGATACCGAACTTGGCATGACATAACATGACTGTATGAAGAGCATATTTGACTAGTCATGATTTACATTTCATGGTACTGCAGCTCTTGTGGTGGTTTCGTTCACATTGCATGTTGCAAAATTGGTATGGTATGGCATGATTGCATGGCGAACACAAGCGACAGACCCTAACACGAAAATCATGACATGCGTGTCATGTAACAACATGACTACATACCACGCTCATGTTGTGCTCACGGCCATTTCGCTTGCGTCACATATACCAATTTTGGTGTCACCATACGTGAATGGATGACGAAGGTATGTGACTGGTGCAAACATGATAATCATGAGGTGCGTGTCATGTGAGAACATGACTATATGTCAAAGTCAAGGCGGGAATAAATTTTGACGTGACATGGTGCGTCTGCTCGCCGGCATTCATTTCGTCGCGTCATGCCGGCATTGCCACACCAGGCGCCCATCCTGACATATACTCGCAGGCACGCGCTGCGCTGCGTTGCTTTGACGCATGCGCATTTAAGTGCATTCGGCGTCCCTCCGTTACGAAAAGAGGGAGACGCAGTGTTGTCTGGGTAACGCATCAGCGCGAAATGCAGCATGTCACATTTCGCGCCGGTTGTCGTCGGACCGCGCCGACAGAGGCTGGTCGTGCCTGGCGTCAGACTATAGTGCTCGCGCGTTTTGCTAACGTAGCGTTGCTGTGCCCAGCGTGCCCGCGCGTGAGCGCTACATTGGAATATATTGGGCCCTTCATGATGCGCTCACGGCCGTTTCGCAAGCTCCACATATACCAAATTTGGTGTTACGTGACGTCAATGGGTGACGAAATATATGGCTGGTGCAAACATGATAATCCTGACATGCGTGTCATGTAAGAACATGACAACAGGCCATGCCCATAGCGTGCTCGCGGCCATTTAGCTAGCTTCACATATAGTAAATTTCGTATCACGTGACGTGAAGAGATGATGAAAGTAAACAACACATCTAGACATGATAATGGTGACACGGAAGTCATGTACGGCATCTACCTCCACCTCGTAACGTCGTGTCGATTTTAAGTTGACATCAACATTTATTATTCGTGCTTCGCATATCATCGATTCCCACTGTACGCGGGATCTGCCAATTTTTTTCTTTCTTTTTTTGAAGCAACTTAATAAAAACCAGCAGATAATGAAGCTAAGGGGGATATAGGGGACGCCAATTGTGCTGTTTTAAGTATCACAGCGATCGTGTCATAGATGTGCCCCGCCGTGGTGGTCTAGTGGCTAAGGTACTCGGCTTCTGACCCGCAGGTCGCGGGATCAAATCCCGGCTGCGGCAGCTGCATTTCCGATGGAGGCGGAAATGTTGCAGGCCCAAGTGCTCACACATTTGGGTGCACGTTAAAGAACCCAAGGTGGTCGAAATTTTCGGAGCCCTCCACTACGGCGTCCCTCATAATCATATGGTGGTTTTGGGACGTTAAACCCTACATATCAGTCAATCGTGTCATAAATGTGAAGAACGTATAGTGGACAAAATGACAACCTGCCGCTAGCAGGGACCGAACCAGCAACCTTTAGATTACGCGCCCGATACTCTTACCAACAAAACTACAGCAGCGGCAGTCCCCTTGTCCACTTGTCGGGTATTTATGTGCGTGCAAGCATTGGGAGTGTTAGCCAGTGTTAATCTTAGCCCTGATAAAGAGTAGTAGACTTTTCATCACCTGGTGCTACATAACATCTGAACGCCGTGAAGTTCACATGCTACATACACATGCAATAGACAAGCATGCAGGCACAGATACATTCATGCATACACACAAATGCATGTGCAGGCACATAAATGCATGTGCACACACACTGACATACCTGTGCACACACACATACAGGCAAGTACACACATGTGCAGGTGCATACATGTGTGCTTACATAAATATACTCAAGCGAATAACACACACACTGTGGGAGCACTAGCACCCCTTGTAAGATTGTCTATGCCTCATGGCAAACAGGTCTCGTGGATAGGCCGCATTTAGGTTTAATAACCACCAAGCATTAGGTGGCGCAGTGCTGGCGTGGATTGTTCGGTAGCCCTGGTAGTGCTGCCTAGTGGCGAGGCTAGGTGGCCGCACAGAAAACATTGGAGACTCTTTGGTATTGGGACAACGAGCAACTGAACGACTCCTGCAGGAGATCCGTGGGAGCCGGCAACTGGTGGTCATTTGCCGTGGGTCCCTCGTGGTGAGTTGAACTTCAGCGACACTGCCTTCATGTTACATTGCATTTGTTGTTATGTTGATTGAAGTATTGGAATATTGTATACAGTTGTTTCAGCATGTCACTAGTGACATGTTTGATTTAGGTGAAAATATTGTCGTTTGTAAAAGTAATTGAATAAATGTACACCATGTTTGATATGCCCGACTACATCTACCATGTCTGTGTGCTCTTAGAGCGAGACTCTCACTTCGAGACCCCCCAAAATATGCATGCATGCCATGGGAGGCACACACCCCACACACTCATACACACATACCTGGAGGGTTAATAATATGTGTCAAGAACTAAAAGCATGCAAAGTTCCCGTGCTCGCGCTTTTCATGACAGTTCGGTCACCTGATCGGGTGGTATGACACACCACAGGCATTCAGCATTTCGGATGCACTGGGTGCGTGCAAGTGGGTGTGAAAAAAATTAACGAAGCTTTGCGCTAGGGGTGAAAAGTCTGAAGGAAATTCAGAGATGGATGGCCTTTCTAGGTTTCTCTTCAGCTTTATATTTCTTACGTCCTCTTTTTTTCCCCCTTGTTTCCGTATTTTTCTTTTTCTTTTTATTCCTCTTTCTGTACTTCTTTTGTTTCTCTCTTTTATATTTTATTCCCATTTTTTTATTTTTCTCTTACTTTGAGCCTGCTTCCTCTATTTTTCTATTTTTGTATATGGTTTTGTCTGCGTTATGCAAAGTGTGCTTGTCACTTTTTGCTGATAGTGTTAAAGAATTCTTCCATCAAGACGCTCGAAGAACAAGAGGAAGACTTCTCCTCGGTAAGAGCGCGCTCACTCATCACCAAGGCACTCGGAGAAATTAATGAAAAAGACTTCTTTAGTGCAAGGACTAGACATAGAGCATTTTGCCAAGCAACAATGACAGATATGACAGTATATGACAAAATACCACCACCCGGCCCCATAATGTCTCACTTTTTAAAAAGAGGAGGCCAATGGTGTGACGAGGACATGCCAGCATAGACGAAAAAGTACCGCATACGACAGCACATGACAGCCTGGCCACCTAAACTGCTTCGCTCTTTCACAAGAGAGGAGGTTGATAGTGTAGCAAACACATGCCGATGTAGATGAAAGAGTGGCGCTCCTTTCCTACATCAAGGGGCTGTAGCAGTGATGCCAGCAGTGCCGCCTAACGAGAGTGAAGTTTCATGGATACGTGGGGAAAAGCACTCTTTCTCTTCTGAGTATGATAGTGTTCGTGGATGGACATATCTCGCGTGCAGGTTCATGGGGGCAATAATACAGGCAGATCCTGCGAACTGATGTGGAGGGTCGAACGTGGGCGACCCCACAAACCATTCTGGCCCTGCTCCAATTTTAAATGAATGCCCTAAATAACAAAGGAATATTTTTGAACAGGCACAGATTGAGCACTAGCAGAGCTAAAATGATGTAGCTCTCAAAAGACACAGTTCTGCTTTTTGCACCAACCACCGATGCTTTCTGCTCATTCTAGTGTACATTATAAACAGATGTGCACATGTATCAGCTGCAAGCTGAGAAAAAAATAAAGATGTCCAAAAGAACAAGCTGCAATGATGAACGAAATGCTTCACCGTGATGGTTAACTCCTGTTCAAGAGTCAATTTCCAGCACCAGTTTTTAATGAGTGATGAATATCCACACGTTGAATTAACTCTCGATTTCAAAGCAAAAAAACGCACTACATTTGGCTCGATGTGCAAGTTTACTTTTATGTGTCTTCCGCTTTCTCTGTGCATACTTTTCAAATGGAAACAATAGAAGAAAGGCAGAATCACGAGCAGTGATGAACAACCAGGCAGCCGCGAAGCAATGCCACTCACCAGAGACCTAGAGGCGATCCCCGCGGCTGTTTCGGCTGGCGATGCCGAGCTGCGCAGCGTGTTCGATGACGGACCCACGTCACCACTGCACGAAGGCAGCTGCTGCTCGCCAGGCGACTTGGGCTCCTCCTTGATGCGCACCACAGACACCGAAGGGGACGCAGTGCGTGACGAAGAGGAGGACGACGTGGAAGAGGGCCCTGCCCCAACGGGTGTGATGGTGATGGCACTGTTCCTGCCAGACAAATCAGACGCATCCCCGACAGCTCCTAGGAGGACTCTAGCAGAAGGGAACGGGGAGGCAGCAGGGCAACATGGTAGCGAGTCGGTGAGGAAGAGGTTAGCCAAAAGGAGGTAGAAAGAAAAGAAAATGCCTAAGCAAGTGTTTTGTTCTCAAGTAGGTCACCTCAGCCACCAATCAAAAGGGCACAAGAAAAGGCAGAGGCAAGACAGTGCTATTAGGCATTGCCAGTCATATTTACTTGTGTTCTAAGAGGCCTATAACCCATTAAATCAGAGACTATACCAATTGGCCCTTTCCATAATTGGCAAGTACGCTCCCTTGCGCTGCACATTTGCCCGCCTAATGGCAGCACAATTCGTGCTTGAAGTGCAGTGGAGGTGTTAGTTGCACATCTGTTATGTGTGCTTATTTATACCACGCCATAAAGCAAGCAAGCTGCTGTTTCTACCGGTAGCAAGTTGTCTTTTCGTTCACTTTGACTTCTTCGATTTTATGTCATAACTGTTATAATACAGCAAAAGAACACCAAATAACATTCACTAAACCTTACTTTGTTTTATTGTCTGCTTGTTTTCATTTAGGTTGCGACTAACAAAAAAAAAGAACGCGCTCTCGATAAACTGCTCTTTTCTCACCGTTTAAACCAGCTAACAATGACATTGCCTCGTCTCCAGGAAAGTGTTATAGGTTGCAATACAAAAGTTTTTTTTTAGAAACTTCAAGAATTGTTCGGTTCTGCCACAAAAGGTTGCTTGTAAGCACATTCATTTCAGCGACGATGTTAGTGTTGGACGAACGGAGCATTCGCAACACAGCGTATAAATTTCTAGAGATGAGATCACACTTCATTTAACATGAGTAGTAAGAACGCTCGGGTAAGTGAAGTGTCAGCAAAAGCAGGTGTGTGCTGCATAATGTCAGCACATCGAGAGGGGCTCCCACCACCATGGTTAACAAGACTACCCAACCAAAATAGAAAAAAAGAAAGAAAAAGGGCAAACAAAGCAGCACACGCATGTGGCAAGGTCAATTTTTTACAAAGCTGATCCTCTCCGAAACTTGCAAGACTTTCCTCAACGTGTTTCATTGCTTCTTCACCCACCATCTCTCCAATATTTTTACTATTAACAGTGTTTTCAGAAGTAGAAGCCACTTTTCTCACATACAGCCTGCACAAGAGATACAGAAAATTCAGATATAATACAAAGGCACGGGTTACATATGTGAGAGAAAGTTGTGGTTTATTTAAAGTTCGAGTGAAATTCCAGCTTGAGATAGACTCACCGACAAGTTTTCAACATACCCTAATATTAGTGAAGATGGCTTTGAAATATCTAGTTGTGGCGAAGCCTTCGAACAGTGGGTCGTCCTCTCCAGCGCCTTCTAGTGGGCCGCCCTTTTAGCAAGAAGAAGAGCAGCTCGTGCGGAGAGTCGGTGCCCGCATTGACTGTCGCTGTCAAGCATCATCGACAAGTGCCCGCCAATAAACGTCTCAACATATTCTTAATCTACAGCATAAACTTCTTGCCTCAGACTGCTGTGGTATGCTGATTTACTCCTTAAACTTGCCAGTTTAAGAAAAATCTTGCTCCCGAAAAGGCACACGAAATGCCCGATACTTAATAACTGCACCACAGCGCTGTAAAAATAGCCGAATGCGTTAAATTAGCACACAAATATACATAAACTCTGCAAGTTTTACCAAAATCGAGAATTTTAAAAGAGCATTTTACTACCCATGAAGCTATTATTAGCTGTGTAGTAAATTAGTACAAATTTCTATGACCCTATGCCATTTGTGGCACAATGCTGGAATTTCAACAGGATGTCGCAATCGTTCTCCGATACAAGTATGCAGTACGCATGATGCAATTTTGGTAAATACTGTTTGTCAATATTTTCGTCCGTGCCCCATTCAATTAAGGCAGGGAGCGATACCATGAAAGATTGTGCAATGTGTATCTGTCCGGAAATTTTTGACATGGCATTACAATAACAGAGCGCTCCATTTGCTATAATCAACAACCCCCATTTGGTAAAACTAACTTTAAAGGGACCATGACATGGTCACCCAACAATTTCCAGCTTCCAGTGAAAACCACAAGTAGAAGGTCTATTACGTCTATACTGGTATGAAAAGTGGGCCGTAAAAGAATATTGCTGTGCAATACAGGCCCTAGAAGTTGCCGGCTGTACAATCTGCCCTCCACTGGCAACTGGAGCAGTGTTGTCGTCTTCTACCAACGTTTCTGCCGCTGCTAATTGTTCACTTGAGCGCTAAATAAGAAAAAAGCTCAAATACCTCTATTTCTTGCGCAGCTGACGACGGAACAATGCTGTTCTCCGGAATGCAGATGTTCGCACAGCCAGCTGCTATGCACGACACAGCTCGGGAGTGCACCACAGTGTTAATACATTCTCAGGCCACTAGCGTACTTGCAAGTATAGTCCAATAATAAATTAAGTGCTTGACCAAATGCGCTTAAACTTCGACAGCTTATTTATAAGTGCTTAAGAATTAACCCACATAACACAGATTACGACTCAATATTCGATGTCATGGCCCCTTTCAGCTATACCTAAAAAAGTGCCAGCTGACCACATACCCTGCGAAAAACTTCCACTAAAAGTGATTGATAACTCCATACATTTACTTAAGAGGGGGAGGCACTATGACAAACCTTTGCCTCCCCCTAGAGGGTAACCCCGCACACGCCTATGATTCTATGCCAGTAAGCACTCACCGCTCGAGAACACTAGTTTCAGGCAGGCGTGGCGAGCCAGATCCAGAACTTGTGCTGCCTGCCACCAGGTGCGATGGAAGACGGTTCGTGGAGGGAGGCGTGCCATCCCGCGACCCTGAAACTCTGCGCATCTGCTGTTGCTGGAGGGCAGCTGCTCGTGCGGACGCAGAATCCAACATGATCACCTTGGGGGCTGGCTGCGGTATGATTTGTACACCAGGTGCCAGCGGTGGTGGCCGGGGTAGACCACTCACCGGTGCTGGTCCTGTATGGGAATGTGTCGAAAGAACTGTTTTGCCAAGGGTAATAGCTAGTCCACGAAGCAGTACGTCCCCCAAAATAAAACCCTGGCTAGCCTCTGGTACTCCACTATCCACATTGTGCATGCGATCTGATTAAAATCAGTGATAACCTTGGTATTGCAGTGCCCAAGCCGAAACACGTTTTAACAGTGGAATCCAGTGACTGTTTAAAGAAAGTTTTGTTCAGTCTTACCACTAGGCAAAGCAATGAATGCGTTGTTGGGTGGCTCAAGGGCAGTTTTCAGTTTGAGAGAAAATGTAAAATTAGTGGTGGCAGAAAATACACTCAAGCTGCTTCGTGATCTGCGTACTGTGAGCAGTAAATGATGCATATGAATAGCTCGCCAAAATATCACCAGTTTAAACATGGCAAGTGTTGGATAGCACAACGGGTTGCGGAGCGAGGGGCCACTGGTTCGAATAATCGGCATGTTGCTTTAGATTTTTTTTTCTACAGATTTGTTTTCCTTATGCCTTTTTCACATATATAAGGACATATACATATCCGGGACATGACAGCGACGGTAAAAATCAGCTGAGAGTGTCCATATCATTGCTATCGCAATAAAAGAAAAAAAGCAGTATTTGTATCAATGTACGAGTTCACTCACCTAGACTTATCAGTAGTCACTGGAGATATGGTAATGCTTGAGTTGAGCGTGATGGGAACACTGGCAGAGGTTGGCATCTGTTGTTGCTGTTGTTGCTGCTGCTGCTGCTGCTGTTGTTGCTGCTGCTGATGATGCTGTTGCTGCTGCTGATGGTGCTGTTGCTGCTGCTGATGGTGCTGCTGCTGTTGCTGCTGATGGTGCTGCTGTTGCTGCTGATGGTGCTGCTGTTGCTGCTGGTGATGCTGCTGTTGCTGCTGGTGATGCTGCTGTTGCTGTTGGTGATGCTGTTGTTGCTGCTGCATGTGATGCAGCTGCTGTTGTCTCATCATAGCTGCCTGCTGGGCAGCAAGGGCCTGGTGCGACGGCATGCCCTGCAAAAAGAGGACATGCAATGACGGGTGAGGAGATGAAGGGAGTCACAGTAGTCTGCTTCATCAACTGGGATACAACAATAGATGGACGAAGTGAGAAACTAAGAGACAGAGAATCGAGACACAACTGAAGGCTGAGTATTTGTTCAAGAGTACAACAGTGCTGGCATGTGTGGCACAGTCAATAAGCCTACCGTGAAATTCCGAGCAACTGCCCCCATCAGTAAAAGCCCCCCCCCCAACTTCACTGGCGATTTCCAATATCCGCGCCATTCCAAGAGTGTGCCCCCTCCCTTCCAATACAATCCAATCAAATCCTGCTATGCACTGCAGCCCGATTGCGCCGCACATGCTCTGTGCCATTTGTTGCTTTGTGTTGCCATGGGAGGTCAGCTGTACCTATGAAGTCCTACACAGTGGCGAAGAAAATCGAGTTTATTCGATGGCATCAAGAAAACAGAAAAAATGTACACCAAACGTTTCGACACTTCAAGCTCGACCGGAAGCAGATACAGGAATGGGAGAAGAATTTCGATCATTTGCTAAAGGTAAACTACGGGAAAGCAAAACTTCGACGGAAGCTCAGTAACGCCGCGCCAGTGTTCAGCGAACATGTGGACAATGCGCTCTTCGTGTACCTTGAGCATGAAAGAAGAGCAGGACGTCAAAGAGGCCATCAAAACTGCAAACAGCAAGCACTTGGGAAACTTCATCATTACATAAGTAGCTGGAAACAGCGGTACAGCATTGTGATGCGCCACACTACAAACAAGAGCAACTTTCGGAGGCAGCAAGTGCCTTTTGGTCTTCAGCGAACTCGCTGAAGACAGCGCAACAGCTACATAACAGGTGCCCGATGGCCAACATGAATTAGATGGTGGTGCGAATATTTTTTCCCTTTTTTTTTCCCCCCATTTGTATCAAATGTTCGCCTCACCACCACGAAAAACAGCTCGATGACATTAGCGGAATAATGCGAGGAATGGCTGTCAAGAGTTTGGGGCCCAAACGTCGACGACGTGCAATGCTTACTAGTGTTCAACCAGGTGCCTACTTCGTAAGATACAAGCCGCTACAATGGCTTCGAGGAGTACGACACCAATGTGCTTTACGTGCCTGCGGGGTGCACAAGCATCCTGCAGCCTGCTGACATGTATTAGAATAAGCCATCAAGTCCACCTTACGGCGGTTTGTGAGAGCAGTATGTGTGAGAGGAAGCACGAACATCAAAAGGAAACTTGAAGAAGCTGCCTTGGCAACATGTGCTTGATTTTGTGGCCGAGGCAAGGGCCGCTGTATCTGAGGAGACAGTGGCATGGTCCTTCAAGGAATATGGTCTTAGTAACACGCTCAATGGCTCGGAAGATGGCGACATGCACAGCAGACTGGCCGATCTTAGAGCTGTAGTGCCAAAAAAACCATGGCGGACTTCAAGCGAAATGCTGCAATGCAACCCGTTTTTTGCAACGGACTCGGAGAAGTCTCAAGTTTTTCAATGGTCTTCAAAGCAATTAAAAGCTACAAATTTTGAGCCTAAATGAAGTTCACTGTAATAAAATTTCAATCTACGCACACTACATTTTCTTTTTCTGGAGTGAAAATTTTACCACCACTTGAATTCTGGTGTCCTTCCAAGATAAGCATCCCCCCCCCCCCCCCCCCTGCCAGCACTTTCAACTTTGTTGAGGCGGGGCACTTGCTCGGAGTTTGATAGTAGAAGTACAGCTGATAAGGTCATGGTGCTGTAACTCTTTTTAAATTCTTGCAAAGCCACTGGCTAAGAAAATTAAAAAAAAACACACAGGAAGTGGCCTCTCGAGCTCACCACATCCATCTAGTTCCCTGCTTCGCCTACAGTTAGCATGAGAAATGCATACTGACTGAATGGAAAGACAAAATGCACGCTAGAGAATGTTTGCAATTATGTCTACTACGAGTTCGGCAGCAACCATAACTAAGAGATGACCGGGTACTCTATGTTCAATGATTTCCTGCATTGTATTTAGATGCTCGAGAGTACCGACTCCTTAAAAGGATGTGACTTACATGCTGCTGCCGCACGCCAGGCTGCGGGCGCATCGCCTGACTGGGATGTTGAGGTGCTGGGTGAGGGCTCTTCTGCATGGTGTACGTTCCACCTGCTGCTGAGGGCCCCATACGAGCCATGTGGCTGAGGGCAGCCATGCTGGCACCTCCCTTCTGGTTCATGGGGCCCTGGTTCAGTAGGTGACGCAGCTGCGGAGGAGGAGCCCCAGGGTAGCCCCCGCCTGGCACCACGTACGGGCCAGGGTAGGGAGGCGGGCGGACGTTGGGAGGCATCCCATGTGCCGCGCCCATGGCACCCTGTCGCTGCTGCGGAGAGAACTGTGTTGACGAGGGTGGACACACGGGGCGCTGCAGCTAGCCCAACCCTGTACAGCCCCCTTTGACAGCATGCACAGAGATACTAGTCCAAGCTAAGAACAACAATACGTGTTGCACTAACTTGATACATCACAATACAGACCACAATTTGTATCTTTCTAATAATAGCATCTAAAACAAACTTGCACTACAAGGAGTAAACAGGCAAATACACCAGTGAGTGTGTAATGTTTTGGAGACACTAAATTGTTCATGCTCTACCATGCACACTGCCATCCCTACATACAGGTAGCTCCGCACACCACGCTTCCATGACATTGTGGTCATATAAGCGCACGTGTAGTGCCTCATAAAAGCTACTCCTCTCCTTTTCTGCTACGCAGGAACACTGCAGTGCTTTGTGCCCTATCACATGTGGGTTTTTAGGAACCAAGTATTGCAGTTCAAAAGGCAGCTTGCAAGATGTGCAATGAAAACAGTGTCTTGCATTCCTAGTTAGCATGTCACCTAACTTGCTTTACACATTAAACAAAATGGAATGGCATGGCAATAGGAAAGCAGATGTCATGAAACTGTCATGTTGGCGATTGTTCAGTCATCTGGAAGCCTGTCAAAGTGTCCAGTGGCAGAAAAGAAAGAGCATTACTGCAAGACTATGCACACGTATCAATTTAGCCAAGCTTCGCAGCTGTTGAATGCACTGTTTAATTACTTGTTCCTTCCTTGAATTGGCCATAAGTGTAACTGAAAACATAAAACTGTAACTGCCAGGAAAGTGGGTGACTTCCCAGACCTGGACGTTCACATTAAGGGGTTATTCACAGACCATGTCCAGGGCATTCTTCATTACTGCAGCTTCTGAACAAAAATAGAAAAATTTTAAATAAACCGTTAAACAGTTTTGGCTATTGTATATAAAAAGCATGTCACTGTCCTTTTTTTCTCTTAAAATGCTCTTTGTGGCCAATAATTAAAGCAAACAATATGCTTAATAGCTCTTGATATGAAACTCCGCTAGCTGACTATGCAGTTATGATAAAGCACTAAAACATAATTTACAACAATGCAATCAGACAAGATAGATAACTCTGTTATTATCAACTGCTTTCAGAGGATCTGAGATGTGTTTCAAGAAATAAAAAGTTCTAGCTATAGTCCCCAGAATAATTGATGCAGTTAAATGAGCACTAATTTCCTTGCCTGTGTAGCTTTGTCCCTCAATCCCACAAAAAATAAATGCAGTAAAAGCTCATTTATTCAGATTTCACAAGACCTGTGAAATCTATATGTGTGAAATAATCAAATGACTAATTATCAAAAGCACCAAGAAAACCATAAACCAGTGTACATGTTACACCCATACATTTTCATTTTCTCAGTGAATATGCAAATTTCTGCTTATTTTGCACAAAAACAGTGTAAAAGCAGCAATTTATCATTTGTCAGTTCGTTCACAATGCGATTGCGAATCGAGATCTCCACGTCTTAAGCCAAAATAAAACATGCTCTGAATAATCTCCCCTAAAGTACCGTCACCACCAAACCTACCACGAACATGCGAGAATTTTTTCACCAGAAAATATGGCTGGCCAACTGATCGTTCCTTGATTGCAATATAGCAAGAGAGTTTTACGTCAGCATGCAGACCAGGGCTGAAGCTTTTCATCTTCAGCTTCGAACACATGTGCATTTTGTAACATTGCAAGAGTATTGCCCAAAGTCAAAATAAGGGCACTAGCCTGCGGCCGCTTCGGTCGTTCACAAACTCCATTCCCGTACCTTTGCGTCGCACATATTCGGCACATCATGCACGCCGAGTTCCCAGGATCATCCAAATTAACCGGGTTGAAGCCAAATATCAGAGAGTTAACGAGTTTAATGCCTTTAACCAATGCATATACTTACTGGGACTGGAAAACAGTCCCACACTATACAACTTCAAAAAATTAAATATTAAGTTAATGAGCTTTTACTGCAATATTCCTGGTACAACAACTCCAGTTTATAACTTCCATTAGAAGTGGTCATAACAGCAGTGCAATGGGTCATGAATTAAAACAAAAAACCCTTGGCAGGACAACCAGCTTCCTAATGGCCCAATACCCACAGCTGGTATCAATGCCTTGGTGGATAAGCCTAACGTTGATTTGCTCAACAAGTCTTACACTTTTGCTTCAATAAAGAAGCAACAGTAGTAAGCTGAAAAAAAAAATCAAGGAAAATAAAAATACTAAGACAAGCTAAACACAAGCAAAATACTACGCTATTTCAATCACATGCAGCCCAGCCATGTTGTCACATTAGACACTACGTCTTGCTTCATTATAAAAAGACAGGCAGGTGTTCAACAGGCAGACCACTATGAACAAAAGCAGCACAACAGTGGTCCAATAATAGTTCATGCGTTTTTCCCAGGACAGCCAACACATTCCAGAGCCCATGAAGTAGGTTACAGGACTCAAAGGATGCACATACACCAAGTTGGCAAACATAAGCAGGGCGTAGCAAGCGTTTGACAGCAAGCTGGCACACAACTGCTAGGGACCAAGATGACGCAGCTGCCGGTGAAGCAGCTGAACACTAAATGGCTCGCAGCAAGCTGCACAAAGGGTGCAAGAAACGCGGCATGGACAAGGGCTGACTGACACCTGCTTGCCGACGATCACTGAAGCAGGCAAAGTGCGCACATCAAACTCATGCACACACACACGACTCACTACCGACAGGGACAAAACGACGGCGTTTCACATGCGACAAGACTGAGGACATAACGTAGCCCACAGTACCTGCTCGGACAAAGCCGGCCACATCTGTGAATAGGGCAACTGCAGAGAATAACAACCGGAACGTTTTTTTACAACTCTTCCCATCGTTTCTTTCCTCGCTGTTCAATCATTTTGTACGCAGTCGCTGGTCAGCACTTGTCCATTTCCCACTTAAAACTTCCAATGTTAATAATGTCACCAACTTCATGCATCAAAGCTACGATAATCCGAAGGCAACCAATAATGGCATGAGACAGACAACACAGTCCCTTTTCACCACCCTTTTCAGAGGCGTCCTGAGAATACCTTGTGTGAGACAAGCCACGCGGGAGAGGAGAAACTAGGGGAGTCAGTGGTAATGAGAGAGACCCTTTCCCCTCTCTGCAGTCCAGTGATGATGAGTATGGCAGGAGGAGTGGGGGTCAGGGACAAGACTAGCAGGCTGAGGTGGGAAAGGGAGTAGCAGAAGAAAAGCCGGCCGGGCTTAAGTTTGTACCCACATGGTGATAAAGTCCAGGCCCTGGGCCAGTCGGCATTGCAGGGTGGAAACCTTCAGGGTACCGGGGAACAGACTGCAGCGGGCAGCCAGCAGCCACAGGGAACAAGAACACAGCAGGACAGTTCACATACAGCTCTTTCTCTCTCTCCCTGCCTCAATTTATAACTTTCTCTTTTCTATGCGACAACACACCTTTGCATTCAACATGGTTCACCCTTTGTATTCAGCTTTTGTACTAAACACAATGAGAAAATTTTATCGGCTGATTCGGCAGTCCCGTAACACACGGGGCACAAGCAAGGCGCAGCAGAACTGCGAAGTGAGGTTACTTTTGTATCCTCACTAGTGAGGTTACTTTTGTATTTTGGACGCATATGTAAGCATTAAATAAGCCAGTCCGAAAAGATTCAACGCGACATCTTTAAAAAAAACGTAGGATGCAAGCATGAACATTTGCATCAATAACGATGACTTACAATTACTCCCTTATAAATAAACAAAAGCATAATATTGCAAGAAAGTACCACCAGTTATAAAGAGAGAAGGAAGCAAAAAAATAGCAAAATAAAATGTTAACAAAACATTGGGAAAGAAATCTTTTGTACAGAGCCACGCCAGCACTGGCTACTTCGGCTGACATCAAAATGTAAGGGTTTTTAAGCACAGCCAATGAGCAAGATAAAGATTAGCACATAAGCTCCATACTTTTACAATATCGCTACAGTTAGTTTAAGATGGGCCAGCAGCTCGTGTAGAGACAGTGAATGTGACCGCGCTTAGTAAAACTTGTTCTTGGGCTAGCTGTTACATACTAAAATACGAAAAGACGTGTACCGTTGAGTAAGGAATAAGACAGGAAAGAAAAGGACACTGCTCGCAACTAACTTCACTCTTGGGAAAGTAGTGACATTTCTTGCAATGCTCATGTTCGTTTTTTTTTCTACCCCCCCCCCCCCCGCCCCTTAATGCTTGTATGGATGCAGACTAAATAAATAATAATAACAATGGATATAACCAAAGCAACCTACATACATAACGACAAATATATAGCCGCACCTATGAGCGCGCGCACGGTTGCTATGGTTATATAAGTTGCCGCTTTAGATAGATGAGACTGCAGGATAAACAGTGTCAATGCACTGTCCAGGCACACAGTGCCGCCTGGTTACCTGGTCCCTTGCAAGTCACCTATACCACGAATTAACCTTGTGAAATACGCAACAAAAACAAAAAAACTTGCTGCGATACGTCTTTCAGCATTCTCTCGAATTATAGGTCAAACGTGCTACATTGACAATTTTTTTAGGTAGGTTCCTCAAATCTGATGCGAAAGAGATGAATGAGCTGTCAGTCAGTTAATGAGGGAGTAAGAGCTATGGTAGCATTCAACTTGTGTGATGATTACCTCAGTCAAAGTGAGAGAATTCGTGCACACATAGTTGCGCTCATGTGTACGTATTTCATAAATTCATTACCAACTTCTACTATATCCAATGTTGGGCCCTCGAAAGCAGTAAGATGTTGTTTACTTAAGTGATATATATATCTATATGCTAATGTGTGTTATATATCTATAGCGAAGAATAATCTGTGAGCACTTGTTCTCGATGTAGAATCAGGTTCGTTACAAAGAGTTATGCTCTGGCGCCTCCTGCAATGAGGTGCAGCAGAATGTTTTGCATTTTCAGTTATTTATTTATTTATTTGCAATACTGTCGACTCCAATGTTGGAGTCATTACAGAGGGCACATTGCAGGTAGTATACATTCATGAAAAACAAACAATAACATTCCAACTGACATACATAAGCCTCACCCAGTACCTTCTGGCCTGCTACAGTGCGCTGTGCAAAAAAGAAAAAGAAAAGAGGAAAATAGCAAAGGTATGTGAAGCATTGAAGCACTACTGTAGATTACGCATGGTTTCTAACACTGCGGTGAATGTGGATAGTGTGTCGGCATTAGTAGCATTTACATTCAGTTTATTCCATTCGCGTATTGTTAGTGGGAAAAACGATTTTCCAAAGAAGTCACTGTTTGAGGAATATTCTTGCAGACTGTATTTGTGCTTATGACGAGTACGGCGCGACTGTGAAAATGTGACGTACTTAGACACATCTACCTTGTAGTGGCCATGTAACAACTGGTACAAGAACCTCAGGCGTGCCTCTTTTGCCCTAGTAGCTAGTTTTTCAATGCCAGAAGAAGCCAGAAGGTTAGTGGGAGAATCTGTACGTTTGAACTTGTTGTGTACAAACCGCATGGCTTTGCGTTGTACTGCCTCTAATTTACTAATACCACTTAGCGTATAAGGAAACCAAACTACGTTGGCATATTCTAATACTGGTCTTACGAACATGGTATAAGCCAAGAGTTTTGCGGGCGCTGGTGCAATTCTAAGCCGTCTTTTTAGGTAGAAAAGTTTACGCAGTGCGGCCGCAGTGACGTTAGCTATGTGTGTATCCCATCTCAGGTCAGACGTTAATGTAATGCCTAAGTACTTATGCTGCACAACATTAGTCAGTGGTGAACCATGAATGGTGTAGATGAATTGCGATGGATTCTGCTTACGTGTTACCGTCATAGCTGCAGATTTTTTCACATTGATGGACATTTGCCACTTAGCGCACCAATCTGCTAGCTTGGTTAGACATTCATTAAGATTAATGTGGTCTGTGTAGCTGGTTACCTCCTTATAAATAATGCACTCATCTGCAAACAGTTTGATATTACAGTTAATGTTTGACGTGAGGTCATTTATGAAAATCAAAAATAATAGTGGTCCCAAGACGGAACCTTGAGGGACCCCAGAAGTTACGGGGACTATGTTTGATATATGACCTTCATACTGCACGAACTGTGAGCGATTCGTTAGGAAATTTTCTGTCCAAGAAAACAATAACCCCTCTCCTATCGCACTTTTCAGTTTAATTAGTAACTTTCTGTGACATACGCAATCGAAGGCCTTAGAGAAATCAAGTAAAATTATGTCTGTTTGGCCACGATTATTTATGATAGAAGCTAGATCATGAACTACCTCCATTAGCTGCGTAACAGTGGACAGGCCACTACGAAATCCGTGTTGATTAGGAGACAAAAATTTTATTTTCTCGAGAAAAACAGTTATGTGTTTGAGGATTATATGCTCTAGTAGCTTACATGAAATGCTAGTGAGGGATATCGGCCGGTAATTTGAAACCGATGACTGTTCTCCTGATTTATGAATAGGTATTATTTTTGCAATCTTCCAGTCATCTGGCAGCTGGGATGAAGTAAGGGACTTTCAAAAGATTAACCCAAGAAACTTGCTACACCATTCCGCATACCTCTTAAGGAACTCGTTAGGAATATCATCTGGACCACTCGATTTTTTAGGATCTAAGTTAAGAAGCAAGTTCAGTATTCCTGTATCTGTGACTTCTAGGTGATCGATGCTTGGCGAATCAAGAAATAATACTGGAAGAGTGGCATCATTATCAGTCGTGAACACTAATTGGAAAAAAATGTTGTATTCGTTAGCCTTTTCCGTTCTTTCTTCTGAATCCGTGTGCGACTGTGTATTATTGCTAGTGCGAAGGTATCTCCAAAATTTGCTTGGATTGCTTTTAATAAAGCTTGGAAGTGTAACACTAAAATAATATTGTCTGGCAGTTTTCTTTTTTTGCTTAAACTCTGATTTTGCACACTGCAGCTTTTGTTGAATGGATGATTTACACTTATGGTTTTTCGCAGCCACACGCAACCTTTTTAACCTACGCTTGGCCTGGATAACCTCACGTGTTATCCAAGGATTATTCCCTGGAGCTTTCTTGTGTTTCTTTGGTATGAAGTTAGTGACACAGTACATAACAGTAGATTTGAAACTTAGCCAAAGTAGATTAGTATCACTGGATGCGTCAAAAGCTAGCTGCAAAAAGTTTTCGAACTCATGTAGTTATGAGTGGTTAACGTCCCGATGACGTAAGGCTAATCATATTCGTGAGTAGCATGCAGTGAGCATGCCACGAGTGGCCACTAGGTGGGTGCAATCAATACAAACTGTACATCACTCAATGTACTAAACGCATGAGCACCTTTTCACAAAACCACAGGCATGGTGCCAAGCAAAGATACTCTCTCACCGTACTACAGGTCTGGGGTATGTTTGTCACACCGGAGCAATCCTGAACTCTGTTTCTCTTGATGCATACTGGCAAAATGGTTGCAGTAATTGGTTCAAATCTGACTTCGCGAGCAGGTTCATCATGACCATTACAAAACCTTTGCTTTACATAGGCATCATTATGAAATTCTGGAGTGCAGGTGGCCTAGCACTGTGATGTTATAAATCCTAAAAAATATTTCATGTGCTCTTAGAGAATGTAGAACTTCTGAAACAGCCTCCTGCGCAAACAGGAAGAAATAGAAACATTCACAAACTCAGAAGTTCGTGGCGATGAAGGGGCAAGTTGCAAACGGTTTACAGACACCAGTGTTAGTCACATACACACCCACACACACACAGTTGCTCAACGAAAAGTCAAAAATGCAAATAAAAACAGACACGCAAAGTAGTGCCTGAAATGGAAACATAAATAACTTTGACATCATGCACAAATGCTTCACAAAAAGCAAGTACATCAAGTGATTAAGGTAGTTCAGTTCCATGTACAATAATGTAGCTTCATTTGGCAGGAAATCTTTTTCCTGAGGCATTAGCACATGAGTAGCTACTAATCCATCGAAGACAAACAGGTGAAAATTTAATGTGCCTCCATATGGCATTGGCGACAATGGTTTGCCCACATAAAAGTAGCAAACACAATTTTCAGTATAGCACAAGTACAATCCACAGACAAAGACCAGCATTTACGCGTAGCACTAAACGTTACAATGACGCGTGCCATTTCGACAAGCTCAGCAAAAGAGCGGACATGTTCTCACCTGTTGTTGTTGCTGCTGTTGTTGCTGTTGTTGTTGTTGTTGTTGTTGTTGTTGTTGCTGCTGCTGCTGTTGTTGTGCTGAAGATACTGCGTCGGGAGGCGGCCCACCTCGATGCTGATTAAGGGCTGCTGCCTTGGCAGCGGCAGACCACGGTGGGGTGCCGACAATGGGTTGCTGGTCGACAAGGATGCAACCCAGATTTGCAATGTAGTTAGTGAGGAATTCGGCCTCATATAGGAACTTGATGTCCACCACGTGCTGTGGGTTGGGGATTTCGCAGCGAGTCTTCAGCACTGTCCGCATCTAGGCCCACAGGAAAACCCGCCACAAAGGGTATTGAAAAAAGTTTCACATTCGCAATTGTAAAGCTCACTCTCTCCAAACATGCAATAATCACCCAGTCCCAAAATTTAACACTACTGCCACGACCAACTTTTAAACAATTGTTCCAAATATAGAAGGGTGCCGATCTTGCATACAGGGCAAAATAAGTCAAAGACATCATTGAGCATTGTTTATTTGCAGAAACTTCCTTGTGGGAGGCGAAAGACTAAAGGCTAAAAAGGTATGACTGATTATTAACCCTTGACAACTCAGTCCGCATCAGTAACATGGCCTACTATACAATCAATAACGCATGAAATGTTTCCTTGCTTTTACATGCTATGATATGCACACATATCTTTTTCTGTATTTATACATTCAAAATAGGTTCTAAACACATTCTGCACTAAAGAAAAAACGAATTGCTGGGATCATATTATTCCATTTAAGAGTGAGCATCACTGCAAGAAAAAAATTTTTTTTAATCATACAAGATTTCAAGCCACTTTGAGAGCCAATGGATCTAGCATGATATTATTGAAATGAAATTACTTATGATGGCATTTAAATTGTACAGTTTTCAGTGTAAAGTCAATACATGATTCATAAAGGTTTAGAAATTGCACAATCCTGCTTGCCGGAACCTGAATACTGTGATAGTGAAGACAAACAACAAGCTATCTTAAAAATTGCAGTCTACCAAAGGACTGTCACAGTATTCACACTGAAATTTGAAAGAGCATTCCTGTCAATGAGCCCAGCCTTCTTGCTTCCTGAAACTCACATGCACCACATGTACCTGCAATCTTTTATAGGTTTCTATAGAAAAATCTACCCACAAGTTTAGTATTGTTGTCTAAAAGTAAACACAAATTTGGCAAAAAAAATTTATTTCACAATAATCTACACAAATTCCACAAGCATTTCTTTAATAGAAAACAAAACGTCACAAGTTAGGGACCATCGGTTATCCCCCGAAAATTTGCTAGTCGTACAGAGTATGCAAGGCAAACTGGATGCCTACCTGACTGCAGATGGCTTTCTTGCTAAAAACGAGTGCCACGTCGCTTCCACGGTTAATCGCGGCCTCGGCAAACTTTTGGCACTGTGCAAGTTTCAGCGAGAGAGCCATCAGCTCCTCGTTCTTAGATGATAGCTGCAACTTCTTCTTGTTGCAGATGTCATTCAGCTCCTGCAGCAGCAACTTGCCTCTCTTGTTGATTTCAGTGATGAATCTGAAACACGTCGCTGCATTATGCATCAGAGCACAAACACCCATTTAAAGGGGCACTTAAGGCAAATGCCAAAATTAAAGCTCAATGAACGACAATGTCTAAAATGACAACATAATCAATAGCAGTGCCCTACTTATGGAGAAATTAAGCTAAATGTACCACATACGTGCACCACAAGTGGGACATTAGTAGCGAAATGATCCCGATGACGTGAGAGAGTTCGACTACAATAACCCATAGTAATCAAACTAGCTGCAATAAAAAAGAAAGCCTTCCAGGCATCAAGAAGCATTATAAAATGCTGCTAGTCCATTTCTGTTTGCTTTATGTAAAAAAGAACCGCCTAGCATTACTATGAAGAATGGCACGAGTGGGAACTAAGCCGAGCCAAACAAGCAGAAAATTGTTCAAAGGCTGTTGTGCCTTGTGTGGCTCTCACTACTTCCTCTCTGCTGTTACTAGTGTCGGCAGCCGCGCAGTAAGGGCGGGCAATGTTGGGCACGGACAGTGACTCGAGACGGACCGCCTTCAGGCGGAGGACTTGAGGTGTGCCAATGCTATGTGGATTACTGAAACGTCACCTTATTTCAAAATAAGCACTTCCTTGGCACAAAAGTAGCAGAACGACGTTTCTGGACCGCTATTTCAGCATTCAACATTGACCTAATACTTGCCCTTAGTGTCCCTTTAAGGTAAAAAAAAAAAACATGACTGGATCGACATTTAACGAAGACGACAATAACATGAGAACATCAGACGTCCAATATTACCAATCATTTAGTCGCATTTAGCCAATCGTATCCAGTCGTCACCCAGAACAATGCAAGTCACTGCTGAGTAAAGATAGCCTGCGAGTAAAATATGCTAGTTGAAGTCACACTTCAACGACGATGAACCAAGAGATGCAATGCACCTCTTCGGTTGTTTTGTTGACAACACTGTACTTATGGGACACCTTCGTAATGAGTAAACTCGTGTTTGCAGGAATTAATTTCACACTAAAACTGTTTTTTTTTTTCATGCCGTATGCATGAAAAAAACTCAGTTTTGCAGTTTTGAGTGATAAAACGTCCAAGGCACACAATAGTGAGAAACTTCAGTTTAATTTGGTCATGCGGGGTTCTTTTATGCCCACTTGAACCTAAGCACACCCTCGTTTCTTGCATTTCAACTTCATCAGAATGCAGCAGCCATTGCGCGAAACCAAACCTGCACCCTCATGTTTAACAGCAATGCATTAGTCACTAGTCTACCACTGCAATGAGGTACGTTCCTTGATGACTGACAAGCTTATATTTTCCAACAATCCACTACAATATCCGCAACTTTTTTTTTTCTGTCTCCTCTTATGCAACATAGCAAATCTTGGAGGTGATGGTGCCAACTGGCAACTAACCAATGACATGAGGCCTTATGAAAAGAAAGGGGTTCTTACAAAATGCAGGTCCCAATTCTCAAAAAGGTTCAAGAAAGGACAATGGCTCACCTGACTGCAAACATTTTGATGTCGCTGGTGACTTTTTGCTCCTGCTGGGTGATCTCGTGGTGCCGTTTGCTCACCAGGTTGCGGGCACCCTCAATGTAAGACTGTTTTTCACGAATCTTGGCCAGTAAGCCGTTAAGGTTGCTCTTTTGTTGCTCACACGCTGATGAAATGAACTGATACTTGTGATCTTTGTGCTCCTGCAGCTGGCAGTCACGGCATGTCAGCTTGTCACATGTCTCGCAGTACAGTTTTAGTTGTTCCTGCACAAAAACAGGCAGCAAGGTATTAGAAAAAATATGAAAGATTTATTTCTTTGGTTGACTGATTGATTGATTGGTATAGCTAGTTGAAGGGAACTTGAAGGCTCTTTTGATTGGGACACCAGAATATGCACATAAGTTACAATCTTCTATTATGATGTGCTGTGCCTTTGATAATTACATTGATTAGATACTTACATTAATGTAACAAACAAAAGCAAGGTGCCTGGTCTCTCAAGAATGCCACATAGATAACAAGGAGCACACACACTTGGATTCCGGCTGCACGCTAGTCAAGTGGACACAAGGCGTTGGCTGGAACCAGGGTTTCTAACGCAAATGATCTTGTTTTCGCCTTAGTTTTGTTCCAACGCAAAAATATGTGCTTCGTTCCTGTTCCGGAACAAGAAAAAAAAAAGCATACGATTTGTGGCAGTTATTTGTGCTTAAAACGTGGCACAGGGATAAAAGAGGTTTGCCCCAGATGCTTAAGCTTAAGTAACTGCACCCTGAATTCCTACCAACCAGTAGAAACTAGTGCTCTCCTAGACTACACTATATAAGTTTCTCAAAACTGGATATTTTTTTTAAAGCAGACTAAGGAGCATAATCTTAGAAGCAGCCCATCATAGAGAGTACTCTCCGATATGAGAGACCTGTTCTGATAAAAGAAATATCAGCACCAAGATGCCCTCACCATGATGGCCTGTGTGAAAGGCTCACGAAAGTGCACTCGCGTTATTTTAAGCAGCTCTGGTTGCTACTTTTCGTTCTTTCAGAATTTTTAACAGATCTGCAGTTAAAAATTCCCACCCGAGTTGCATGCTAATACTGCGCCCTATGTTATATATATTAATGCTCCCGTTGTATGACCTCAGTTGTTCCGGATCAACAAGTTCTTCCCACACACCGTAAAAGATGAAAAAAAAAAAAACATTCTAAACAAAGATAAAAACAAAAACAGTCTGGAATAAAATAATAAACATTTTTGTTACATTTTCATTTCAATCTAAAATGGAGGGGTTTGTTACATTTGGGCACCCTGGCTGGAACGCCACTGTCCAAGCTGGCAGCTCACGTGATCTTGCTAGAAATCGTGTGACACAAGGCGCTCACTGAAATCGTGTCACCTAATCCCATAAGTCACACGATCTCACTCTGCCTGATCAAGCGTTAGCACATACTTCAAATCTAGCGCCACCAAAACCAGTGATCTCCAATGATCACATACACTCATGTGCTTACACATACCTGCCAAGTTAAAGGAATCTGAATAGGGGAGATTTTCGAGCCTGGGGGTGGGGGAGGGGAAAAGGTGGTGGTAGTGGTAGCACTGAAAGCTCTGTAAGCATAAATATCAGCGTAGCAGTTTTATAATGGCTAAAAGTGTTCATAAAAACAACCAAGGTAGGTTTTCCCAACTACGGTACAGTCAGTAGAATCTCAGCGGAATGAATCTCAAGATATGGGGTGATGAGGAATTCGCATCGCCTGGAATTTCGCAGTTTTACTGCAAGGGTGAAGCCACGAATGTGATAGCAACAAATTGTAATGTTATAAGACGTGAGGCTAGCCCTCTTGAATACGATCTCAGGCATCTCACAAAACAAAAACGTCGGTGTAAAAGAACACGGCCACGCCAGGTAAACTTTTCATACAGCCTCTCTGCCCTCGGATCGCCGCACGTTGAAGGGGGTATACCAGCCGCCCACTGACGGGTGCCGAGATAGCACGCGCGCCAGCAATGAGTACCGCGCCAAAAGTTGCCGCTCCAGGAATCCCTATCATCTCGGGCCGGGCGTTTCCTGTCTACTTGAGCCGGTCTACAGCCGGTCTAAAACATCTCATCGCAAGCCCCCTCCGAACTACGAACGGAGATGAGCCGGTTCATTTTATCTCTGCTTCAGCCGCTTTTTTCACCCCCACTCGCGCGATATTACCCGTGTGTAGAAGGTAAGGTGCACTAGGAGATCGTATCAATGCGCACTGTATACGGAGCATGACGGCGACAGCAGAACCCGTCGAGACTGTCTTTATTATTGCTATCGCAAGAAAAACTAACAAAATCCCTTTTTTTTTTCGAACCACGACATACGGACAAAACGTCAATTTCCGTCAAAATAGCTCACCTATGTCTTTCTCACAAACGCGAATGAACCAAATGGCTGCCGCGAAAGCACGCGCCAAAGCTTCGCTGGAGTCGCACTGAAAACTAAGTACCAATGTCCACATCGCCATTAGTCATATATGCGAAAATCGGCAGGAACGCCAAATGATTCGTGCTTTTTATACGAATTTATCGTTGTTTTTCATCTACCACTGCGTTATCCGCGTACCTGCGGAGCTCGTAGTCGCCGTTAATGATCGCGTTCACGGCAACCACGGTTCCGCCCGCAAGGGTCGCGGCAAACGGCAGTTCCGTTTTCAATCCGCGAGCGCTCTCCGCCCGCGTGCCTTCAACACCATACGTCGTTTGTTGCTACCCGTGTAAAGTAGTGTCGCTTTGCCTTGTTATGCCTGCGAGTCCACAGCGAACGTCCATGCCTCTGAAAAAGGCAATCTGTGTCAAGGCCTGCACGCGGAACTGAACGGCTTCATCACGCGGTGGTGCCTTTCTGCCGCGCACGCACAGTGAGTCACCTCAGCTAGCAAACCCGTCACAGCAATCGGCGCCTTCCTGTCTGGCGAGTCTGACGCAATGCCTGGCGAAGTCACTCGTCCTTGGGTGCAGCCACGTGCAGCGCAGCGGCTCCACATTCGATGAGAATGACGCGGTCCCAGCGGCGACCCCATTGGAGTATTCTGACCTCACGACCAGCGGCGCTTCTGGTTGGACATTTGGTTACTCAAAGAATCCATCCGGTGCATATAAAAAAAGCCCTGCGGCGCGTGGCGAGCAGTAGACCCAGTAGACCTATGTGTTAGAGAGCAGAGCTCGGCTCTTCGGGTCTCTAAGCTGTCGGCCCCAGTGCCGAATTTGTAATGCCTCTGTATATATGCTGTACATAAACCTTGTTTAACTCACCGTCGTCTCGTCCGCTCGTCTATCAGCTCTGCGCAGAAGCAGTCGCGAGCTGAGAAACCTACGCTGCCAAATGGCTGCTGACCTTCCCGGCGGAATTCGAAGCAGTGGCGCCTTCGGGACCGTGTTGGCGTCGCCGTCTTTCGAAACAGTGGTTGCAACGGTGAGATTCGTGGCGCCCTTCGTAACGTCGTAGGAGGCGCGATTCGCAACAGCCTGGCTGAGCGCTGGGCTCGAGTGCACTTTCGGAATTCCGTCAGTTTCTTCGTCGACATATATGATCGTGTCAAGAGTGACCGCGATTTCGTCTTCAGCTAATGTTGCAGACGATAGCCACAGTTCCGACAGTGCGAACGCTGGCCGCGCCCGTACTTGCGAAGCTTCCAAAACGCTGCTCTCGGCCATCGCTCGACGGTTTCGGTACTTAACGTTCATATCACCCGCCGCGACGAGGAAAAGGGCTCAGAACGTCCCAATTTTGGCCCATTAGAGATGAGCGTAAATTGGCAGGGGAGTTTCACGAACTTTTATCAGCCGGTATCGATTTGGTAAGCATAATGCTATGCGCGATGGGTTCGCAAAAAGCCTGGGTCGTATTGGGTTGGATTTTCATTAATGTGGTCAAGTGTGGGCCCAAGCTTGCGTGCATATGCCTTTGAACATTAAATGCCGCCAAATTCCAAAGTTGTATCCGACTGTACGTATTTTGCATTGACGTCACCGTAGTCGCCATTTCAAGGCACAGAGCTGGTTGAGACGTCACGTGAGCTCTTACTCGAACGCACGGTGCAAGAAGCAGTGACGCCAGATAGCGCCGGTGCCCCTCGCATTCCTTTATGTTCCCCCTAGGCGCAGCTCGCAAACAGAAGTGGGGAGAGCGCCAAGGAACGCGGGGACCGAACGAGTCGGTGCTCCTCTGCACTACCACTCTAATATGAGAAAACATCCCGTCAGGGCCCCCAGGGCTAATTCACTATAGGCACCCGGCAATGCAGTTTACGAGATCCGATGGTAGCGCCAGAACACACAGCCTAGCGAGTATACGCGCAGCAAAACCGAGTCTTCCAATACGTAGCCTAGCGAGTAGAGGCAGCAAAACCGGACTTGCTCGCGCGTATTATTTTCTTTTTTAGTTGTGAACCGGGGGTCACGGCTGATTATGTAAGCGTCCAGGAAGCTTTCTTCGAAAACGCGCCAAAAAGGGCATTAACACCTCAGCGTCTGTCTCGATGTGTTCAGCGAACGTTTCATTTTCTTGGTATCCCTGGCGGTCGGTATCAACAATGTTGAGGCGGCCCAATAAGTTTCGTCACGCCCTCTGGTCTACTGTCCGGTGCCTATACAAGGGCGGAGAGCTTGTTTGTGACGTCACGAGAAAGCTATGGACACATAGTGTGCATTGATGTCATTGTAGCCGGCAACTTGGGGTACCATCAGGTTGAGATGCCTCGTGAACTCTTCTCGAACGCGCGAAGCCAAAAACTGTGACATCAGATTAGTGCCGATGTACCACCGCGTTCTTTTGTGTTCACCATTGGTGCAGCTGCCTAACAAAAGAAAGCGAGGGGGGAGCACAAAAGAACGCGAGCAGTACACAGCTACGAGTTTTCTCCTGCACTGATTTGTTGCTTTCCGAAAGATGTAAGGTAGATCCGCAGCTGTATCTCTTGGAGGGCTGTATATATTTAAAATGAAGAGTGGCTTGTCTGGGCTTCAGGGCCCATCTATCCACTCAGGATGCGCTCATCCAGTTGCATCACGATCTCCTACGACCTGAGAGTGGCACTAGTACCAAGGCTTTGCTCGGTCTGGACCTTCACAAAGCATTTGACAACGTGAAGCATAGTGCCATTTTAGGCAGTCTGTCCGAACTACGATCCGGGGAACGCATATTTAACTACGTCCGTGCTTTCTTATCTAATCGAACGGTTGAACTCTCAGTGGGTGACCTTCGTTCTAAGCTCATCACACTCGGTGATCGCGGCACCCCGCAGGGAGCTGTTTTGTCCCCTTTCCTTTTCAACCTCGCTATGAGGTCACTACCTCCCAAACTTGACACGATACCCGGCCTGCGATACACCCTCTACGCAGATGACATCACGCTCTGGACGACGGTGGGATCCGATGGTCAAATCGAGGAGACTCTTCAAAGAGCAACCGACGTAGTCGTTCAGCACGTGTCAGAAGCGGGTTTGGAGTGTTCCCAGAGCAAATCGGAGCTACTATTACTGCGACCTCCAGATCGCCGCAAAAATTAAGACTCCACTTCCTAGTATTAACGTGTATGTCAATGACACGCCAATTAAGCAGGTGGCCCACATGAGAGTACTCGGACTCATTGTGCAAACAAACCACCACAACAACATTACGCTAGACCGTCTCACCGTAACCGTGAACCAGACGGCCCATCTTATATCTCGAGTGAGCGCTCGCAATCGAGGCATGAAGGAGAAAGAACTGCTACAGATAATTCAAGCCTTCGTTTTGTCGCGCTTCACGTACGCCCTCCCTTATTTGCACCTCCTTCAATCTGAGCGAGCCCAACTAAATCGGCTCTTACGCAAAGCGTATAAGGTGGCATTGGGTCTCCCCCGAAACACATCGACAGAGCACCTCCTCAGTCTTGGGCTGCATAACACCTTAGAAGAACTTCTTGAAGCGCATCTTACGGCGCAAATTCACCGATTACAGGGAAGCAGGACGGGGCGTTGGATCCTTGCTAACATTGACCATGTGGTATCTCCTACGGGTAACGATCCGGCTGTCATCCCCCCCAACATCAGAAAGAAATTCCTCATAAAACCACTGCCAAAGAACATGTTGGCCAGCCATCACGACGGTAGAAGGAAAGCGAGGGCCAAATTCTTGCAAAAAACGTACGCGTCCAACCCAACCGTTGCGTACGTTGACGCCGCCCAATACCGAGAGTTTACTAAAGCATATGCAATAAGCGTAATCACTCTCCCCGGCAACAACGCCAATTCACCTCAAATTAAAGCGGCTGCTTCTGTCCGTGTGCTTAATACGACAGAAGCTGAGGAAGCGGCGATAGCGCTAGCAGCAGCATCCGGATTCACCACTATACTCAGTGACTCAAAGGCTGCTATATCCAACTTCGCACGTGGCATTGTGGCCCCCACAACTCTGCGTTTACTATTGCCCAGTCTCCTTACAGATGCTGAGGAAGACGCACTATCCTCCATTGCGCTGGTATGGGTGCCGGCTCACGCGGGGAACCCAGGGAACGAGGCGGCCCACCTATATGCTCGAGGATTCGTCAGCCGAGCGGTGGTACCCGCCTCTGATTTGGAAAACCCTGGTGAAGCCTTGACATCCTACCATGACATCACACAATATTACCGTCTTTCGAGGCAGACAAAACCACCCCCGCACCATAAGCTAACTAAGCGCCAGGAGGTTATCTGGCGCCGCTTGCAAACACATTCATTTCCGTGCCCATACATTTATGCACGTATATACCCCGACTCGATTGATCCGCATTGCTCGCATTGTGGCTCAATAGCCACACTTAATCACATTCTCTGGGCCTGCAGGGAAGATCCCCCCTCTCTCGATCTCCTAGCCGCTCCCTCGCCAGAGGGGTGGGAGGCAGTTCTGACCTCCACCAGCCTGGCCGTTCAGCTCCAGGCCGTACAAAGGGCAGAGGAGGTGGCCATCAGGTTCAGCCTGGCGGGTCACCTACCTCCTTAAGTCTGACGACAATAAAGTTGTGTTCTCTCTCTCTCTCCTGCACTGACACGCTTTTAACGAGATAAAATTTCACGGTGGCCGCCCTGTTTGGGTACCCAGTGCAGAGAACATGTTTTGGACGTCAAGTGAAAACTATGCATACATAGTGCGAATCGATGTCATTGTGACCGGCAACCTGGAGAATGTAGCGCAGCGCCTCAGTAAGTGTCTCGATTGTGAGCTGGAATAATTAACGTTACTTACAATACACCTAATTCCAGTCCTCTTGTTTGGCATGTTAAACATAGCTCAAGTTTTGTCCTCAGCGCCTGTGCTGCGGCTCACGAATTCCCTTTTTCTTGTGGACGAGTGTATAGACCAAACGGATAGGTGTGTAAATGTCAAGCTTAAGCAGCATAAGAATTGCTCTACAGATAGCCATTCGCATGTGCAAAGCAATGTAGGGCGTGTAACGAAGCTAGCAAAACGTGTCAACCACTTCTAGACAAACCCAAGATTGTGTATAGTCCCAGGGATAGGCGCACCAGCGATCTGTACGGAGCATTCAAGATTAATACTACAAGCGGGTGCATAGGCGAAGCTTCGGTATACGTTGCGGACTCCGAGCAGGAATATTTAGATGCTACTTTCTAACGTCGGCGTATGACTGTCCAATGAGCTTGATTCATCACATGTTCACTGGATATCATCTTTCACTTATTAAACGCTCAGTTGTGACTGCGCGCGTCCTGTTCTTCACTTGTATTCAATAGCACAGTTAGGAAGCCTACTCTACCCGGCGCAACGAAAAACTGGTACAATAAACTGCAAATCCATTCGAAAAACGTGCAGTGGATCACTAACCTGCTTGTGACTCTCGCAGAACATGTACTTCTGACCGAGGGCCGCTGGCTTGTCTCCCTCGAGCTCATCCTTGGCACGGATCGTGTGGTCCTTGGTGACGCGGACGCGCTGGTGGGCATCTATGCAAGCCTGGCACAGCCAGTCTTGGCAGTCCACGCAGAAGCCCGCGGCCGTGGAAGAACTGTCGTCGCAGTTGGTGCACGTGTGCGTCCCGGCAGTCTCGCCCGCCTTCGCTTCGCTGTTGCTAGCCAGGTGCTCCATCAGGAACAGGTGATTGATCACATCCGAACTGGAGATCTCCTGCTGGCACTCGGCGCACCGGACTGCACACAAGACACGAAAGGGTACATGCGCGTGAGAATATGCTTTTAGTGGAACCTATTTACCATTAACATGAATGTGGCGGCACATTGTGGCAACAGTAACGCCATATCACAATGGAGACCTGTCCACATTGGTGACAGAGCAGGTGCGCAGCTTTGTTTCCATGTGAATTCACTCACTCTCTCTCACACACACTGTCACAGTGGTTACTGAAGGATATATGTCTTATTCCACTATATGGAGTTCTTGTTCCAGGCGATCGATGACCCTGGGCATCCCGACCTCCCAAGACAATATAAAGAAAGCAACCATTGACAGCATTTGTGCTAGCTTGCCGAGTGTTGTCCTCTTCTGCGGGAAAAAAAATATTAACACTGTATGGCGATTTGAGCCAATAAAGCCAAACGGAACTTTGTAAGCAGGGCCACAAGCCCAAACATGAGATTAATTCACTACTACCCAGCAGTCTGTAAAAAACCTCTTCAGAGGAGAGAAAGAACGCCATGTAGGGCTGCGCGCGGACGTCTCAAATAAAGGACACCGCAGCGTTCCCTCTTCCCCATACTCGAATACATCTTTAGCGGCATTTTCTCCTCAATGGCAGATGTATTCACACTGTCCGCGATCTATAGGTGGCGCGCAAAATAAACCAACATTAGAGATGTGTTCCAATTCTTAGACAGCACGTCGACAGTCTACGCAGACTTCTTAAAAGACAGCACCAAACCCATGCTGTTCGAAAGTTGAAACAAGTCTGGACGGCTTTTACGCGACGAGGCGCCACTTCGCGTCGAGAAGAGAAAGTAAAAATGAACACACATAACAGTTACATTTTTCTGGCTTATTTTGTGTTAAAATCTTAAAAAAAATTATACGTTACTCACATTGAGCATCTGAAAAAGCGTCTGCTTGTGTGCAGACGACCATTCCAGCGAGATCCGAACTATCTGAGCGAATTGCTGAGCCACCATCTTATTTGGACAGCAAGGTAGCCTGCATCGTATTTGTCTACGATGAGGTCTTCTTGGAGCTGTCGACTTTGCCGGCTACGTGAGAATTGGAATGGGATTTAGGATGGCGCCGTCCATTTAGCTGTCTATTTAGGTAGGTAGTAAACCTTATTCACTCAGTTGACAGGAGAGAGTTGGGGACGGCTGTCTATTTAGCCGTCTACGGTGAGTATTGGAACACACCCAGAGTTACTCTATATGCTACCTTTAAGTAGCACAGTTGCGCCACTGATAGGACTCGCCGCTCGCGCCCCATTCGCCCAGCGCGTTCACGTGCGCAAGCCAACTTTACTGCCACGCGGGTTCTGGCGATCGCCGCGCCACCACTACCGTTGCCCGAACGGTCCGGCGAGGAGATCCCGCTAAATACTACTTCGATGGTGTTGTGATAGTGTTCTCTGTTTTAGATGCGGAGCATCTTATACTCGCGCCTTGTAGTGCGCCGTCCGCACCGCTTCTCGAACATTCGACAGCTGACGCGCGCGCATGCGCCGTCGCCCACTCTTCCACCATCTGTGCATCCCTTCCTCCTCTACACACCGCGCGCGCTTCACTCCTCCACCATCTGTGCACCCTTCCTCCTCTACACACCGCGTTCGACATCTACAATTCTCCTGATTCTCCAGTGGACGCGCATGTGGCGTCGCGCTTCGAGAACATTCAACAGCTGACAGTGCATGCGCCGTCGAGCTGTATATATACTCAAGGTCGGCGCTCGCTCGCTCAGTTGCCGCTCGTCGGTTGGTTTGTACGGCGCGTCGACGTCCAAGGTCGCGGTGAAATGAATTCCAACGAATCCACAAACACAATGATCGACGTCCCTTCGACCAGCGCCGCCCTTTCGCATACGTGTGTACGTGTTCACTCATTTAACACCCCCTCCTACAACCACGTTAACCAATTTAGCCATCGACCCAAGTAAGTCGCAATTTAACACCCCATTTCACAACCACGTTAACCAATTTAGCCATCGACCCAAGTAAGTCGCACTTTAACACCCCGTTAACCAATTATATGCTCCGCATCCTCCTCAGTGTTCCCCCGAGGGAAGCTGCGGGCAATTTTTTTAGTGAAAGTCAGTGTTAGAGGTGTCTGTGCAGCGCCGTGACTCAGTGCTGCGTAGTTGCCCGGATCACAGGATGCCACAAATACGTATAGATATGTTGAAAATTCTAGTTTGCTTGTGCTATTTGTAAAACACGGAAGGACAGCCCTAGCAAATTTTTTATCGAGCCACCTGCTTAATCATTTAAAGCGGCGAAAAATTACGTGAAACGAGCGATTTGCGGAACTTAAGTTGTCGCAAATCACGTACACGATTCTTGACAAATTATGCCAAGGCTTTTTTGTTTGCTATTTCAAACAGAAATGTCTCCCTATGGTGACTTCCAATTTTTTTTTCTTCTTCGAACTGAAATTGATTGCGCCAGCGACAGGTTATGAAGAGCGAGAAAACGCAGGGAGCCGCTGAGCTGCGTCGGCTTCTACATTCGGAAAGTGTCAGCGATGTCTGAAATAATCTCAAGGTTGAGACAAGGTTCGATTTAAAAAAAAATGCCCGCAGCTTCCCTCGGGGGAACACTGAGGAGGATGCGGACCATATATTTGGTTAACGGGGTGTTAAAGTGCTACTTACTTGGGTCGATGGCTAAATTGGTTAACGTGGTTGTGAAATGGGGTGTTAAATTGCGACTTACTTGGGTCGATGGCTAAATTGGTTAACGTGGTTGTAGGAGGGGGTGTTAAATGAGTGAACACGTACACACGTATGCGAAAGGGCGGCGCTGGTCGAAGGGACGTCGATCATTGTGTTTGTGGATTCGTTGGAATTCATTTCACCGCGACCTTGGACGTCGACGCGCCGTACAAACCAACCGACGAGCGGCAACTGAGCGAGCGAGCGCCGACCTTGAGTATATATACAGCACGACGGCGCATGCACTGTCAGCTGTTGAATGTTCTCGAAGCGCGACGCCACATGCGCGTCCACTGGAGAATCAGGAGAATTGTAGATGTCGAACGCGGTGTGTAGAGGAGGAAGGGTGTACAGATGGTGGAGGAGTGAAGCGCGCGCGGTGTGTAGAGGAGGAAGGGATGCACAGATGGTGGAAGAGTGGGCGACGGCGCGACGGCGCATGCGCGCGCGTCAGCTGTCGAATGTTCGAGAAGCGGTGCGGACGGCGCACTACAAGGCGCGAGTATAAGATGCTCCGCATCTAAAACGTAAACAATATTATATCGAAGTTACAAGTGAATCCACGGTCACTACACGTTGAAGGAATCGCGGTACGGTGCAGGAGCCCGCTCGGATGCGTCCGACGCCACTCGTGTCTCGACTCGCTCTCCTCTCTCTGGCGATGCCTTGCTACGCGTTCCCAACTCAAGAGCTCACTTTTGTTCTTTTTTTAATGTTCGTCGAATCAACGCCGCATGGCAACAGAGCGAGCGGACGCGCTCTGGGCTCGTGTTGCGTTCCTTGTACGGACGCCGAGATGCTGCCGGTGAACTCGGCCGTGTGAACGCGAGTGCTCCTGACAGAAGGGGTGGCTTTCCTGCATGACATAAACGTCTCAGCGAGCAAGATGGCGGACCTATGCGCAACTCTGCTACCTAAAATGTAGCGTATAGAGTAACTCCAACCAACACGGCGGTCTGGAGGATGATAGCGAGCGAGTAGAAGGGTATGGAAGCGTGCTGTAGAACTTGTTTCGACAAATGTAATCACGCCAGGCCGCTTTCATGACGCGGCATCGAGTTTCGAATTGAAATAGATTACAATTACACGCAAAATTAAGGCTAAATGAGTAGAAATTCGCAAACCTAATCATTTATATGGTGGCGAATATCAAGCCTCAGTACAATTTGCGAGCGTCGATTACCACTTCACTCTCCGCTGCACTGACCCGCTTGTGCCCGCAGATGTATTGGTTTCTCATGAATATATGTTGTAACGATAGCAACCATTTTCGGCTGTCATACGCCACTCTCTACCAATTAAACAGCGGCTGCATTATTTTATGTAGTGTGACCAGCTCACGCACATGGTGTCTTGAAAGGCCTCATGGGTAGTTCACAAAGACGAAACAGGTATGAATGTACCATCTAAAACAGATTGCTTCAAGCTGTAATGTTGTGAAAGAATATGGTTGTCACTCGATAAGTGGAAGCGTTTTTAAACTTGAATCATTTCGACACCGAGAAGACAAAACTAGGATTTTTTATTTATCATGCGCATTAAGCTCGTGAAACACTGGTGCGCAAATTTTCTTCATTTTTCAATTTTCTTCAAATTTTCAGTTTCTTCCTGTTCTTGACCGTATAGTATATTTCCTTCACGCTCAAACTGAGCTGCGCTAAAGCCACATCATTTTATCCTGCACCAACTCGCTCAGTCAGCAGTACTTGTCTCATTGTTACCTCCGTAAGGAACGTTAGACCTGTCGTTTGTGGGATTCACTTTCAATGATATTGGAACCGGGAGAAACAAAATAGTCAGCGAACTTGCGTGTTCGTCCGGTATTCCGATCTCCGTAACGACTTTGCGTATACCGGATTATTGCACACGCTGAAAACCTCCAATCCTATTTTTTTCTACGCGGACGAACTAAAACTCCTAGTTCAGTTTGTCAGAAAAGTTCGCATTAGCGTTTAACCGGATACCATGGGCGTAAAGGTGAGAAACATCACTGGTGGTGCCATCTGGCGGGGCCGCGATAAACCAAGGAAGCACCAAATTTTTAATTCAAAAACCTACGGCATTCTGTTCATTTTCTCAAGATGTCGATACCACCATCCGCTAAGCCGGTGCATATTCCGCAAGTCCCCTTGCGTATATACCGGCCAAGCAAAAAGCTTCTAGCTACCGACAACCTTCTCCCGGCAGGCTCGGTGTTGCTTTTTCTGTCTGCTTAGGCTGTGCGTTTCATCGCTTTTTTTAGGGTCGAAGCTCCTTAAAGCGGCACCCATTCGTCCCTCGTAGTCGTAGTGTG